CTTCTGCTCACCCCCCACAATAACAAACTCGCCATGTCACCCCACCGCCAGTCCGTGCTTTACCAGGGCCTCGTTTACCCGGTTCGGGAAAACATTTAAAATGACATCACCAATTGCGCAAGGCAATGATCATGCTAACGAGGACAAGGAATATCTCCATGCAGAGCTCACGGAAACATCACGTGTCGTGTCCCGTGTTAGAGGGTGGCCTCTTGAGGGTGAGTGACATCACGACAGCTCATTACAGAAACCCCTTTCAGTTACCACTTAAGGGGGAGGGGGCTATGCTGATCACGCGGGCCCTGCTGTACAAACCAATCAGCCTATGTAATGAAATGAAATGTGACTTTGATGTGATATTTGGGTGCAGTCAATTGTGACCAGGTCCAGATCGTCAACTCACTGCGCCTGACGTGTCCACGTAGAGAGCCCACTCTGTGTCTCGCCACTTGTGGACGAGCCCCCCCCCCCTGTCCTGTGCGGGTCGAAGCGGTCATTTGACCATACCTCATCATGGTGGTCAGCGTGTGTTTGGTGGAGAACAGGAATCACATGCAGTAGAGCCTAGCATGCGACGATGGATTGTATAGAGGTAGCCACACAGCCTCTAACGCCTGCTGTGCGTAGGTGTCACTCATCGAAGCACTGTCCAGGCTCAGTGCTACTTGTAGGGTACGAGGGAATCGGGTGAACTCTGGCTGATTTGGTCAAAGAAACTTGACTATGCAGTATTATACTTGACAATTTGGATTACTTGTGGGTGACTGGAAATTATGAATCCCTCAAAACCAACGTGGAATAGGCAAACAGTGTCTGTGACTAAATGCTTGACTGCTTTAGTCGACTGTATGGTATGTATGTATGCTGTTGCGCCACGGTGGCGAGATGTTAACTACCTCGCCTGGTATGCAGGAGGTCGTAGGTTCGACCCTGACCCGGATACCTGCTATATATTTGGAGTTTTCGCGTCTTTCATCATCATCATGGTCGCTATGAGATGTTAACTACCTCGCCTGGTATGCAAGAGGTTGTGGGTTCGATCTGACGCCTGCTGTATATTTGGAGTTCGCATGTTCTCCTCGTAGTTGCGTGGATATTTCTCCTGCTCCGTGTGCGGACCGTCATCCACAGGTTTCTCTCCACATTTAGAATCAACACGCGATTAGAGCATTTGGCTGCGATACTTTTCCATATAATTGTCAGCTTCGTAGAGCTATAATTTGTGGCCGGGTTGCTTCTGAACAAGAGCCATATAGCTCAGTGGGCCTTACCTGGTCAAATAAAAAGTAGTTTAGTATTAACTTCTTTCGCATCTCGCACCGTACGTAGCCAACGGTGCTAACCGGAGGTGCGACTAGACTGCTTTTTCCGTCGACCTGTAAGAGATCCACCGCAGTTCACGACAGCCCACAGATTGTATGTGTCACTGCCTGGGCCAAGCCCCTGTGGCTGAAATAGTAAATAAATGACGGGCTTGCAGGAGCTGCTTGTGCGGCCCGTCGTGGACGAGCTCGGAGGTTGTCCGTGCAGAGCGCGAGGGGCATCTCCGTGGCGTCCAGAGCTCGTTCCAGGCGCCGCTTCTGTTCCACGAGCAGCTCCGTCTCCGACGTCCCCTGCGAGGCGTCCACCCACAACGCACGCGAACCTCTTGAGCGCCCGCCGCGTGCAGACGCCCGCTTCGCTGGCGCGCAGACGCTCGCGAACATTGTGTGTGCCTGCGCAGTCTGTTTCTCCTACAACGCGCTGGTAGTTGCGTTCCTGTCACCACGTTATGGAAATATCGCATAATAATAACAAAAATAAATATGTGTAATTTACTCCGCTCATTAGAAAAAAACACTCGTTCCACGCTGCAAAAGCCCGATGATTATTAAGCAGTCTCACGTGACGCGCCGTCTGTGCTAACAGCGCCGATTCAAATTAAGAACGAAATCTCGGTGTGTGCGTGTCTACCCGTGGTCCGTGCGTGAGTGTGCACGTGGTGTGTGCGTGAGTGACCACGTGGTCCGCGCGTGAGTGTGCACGTGGTGTGCGCGTGAGTGTGCACGTGGTCCGCATGACGAAGACAGCGTTGAATGCTCATCTCGTCACGTGGTACGTGTTAAACAATCGTCGGGCGCATGCAGAGTGGAACGAGATCGACGTTTACACGTAAATCGACGTCGTTCAGACGACCTCACTCATCAACACACAGACTTTAAGCAACTCCTGTAAGATGCTGGATACGTTTTTATTATTACAAACAAAAGCAAATTTCAGTGATAATCATAGGAAAACACAACCCTCAAATTGATTAAATGCCAAAAGATATAAAATGTTAGGCTTCATGGCGATAAGTTTCTGTTGTTAGGCTCCATTGTCGCATGCATATAATTCAGACGGATTCATGTAACTTTGATACCGATGATGTGGGTACACATTTGCAATCGTGTCGGTTGGCAATGTGAGATAGTATTAAAGCCACGAACGGGATTGTGGTAGGTGCATACGATGGCTCAATGAGGTCCCAGCATTTCGGCAGCAGTATCAAGTGACAAAACCATTGCAGTGTAAAAAAATAACATGGCAGAAAAAGACTTAAGAATGATGAAGTCATCGTGAAAATGGAGAGATCTTTTAACGTCACATGTACACCGTAGTGAACACGTGAAAGTGACTTCCTACTCCAGCGTTGATGCAGAGGTGATCGACTCTTTAAAGCCCTGAGCCAGTGCTGGATATCCCGCATCCCTATGACAGGGGCGCGTCGAACCAAAGGACAACCCGCGTTTGGATAGACAATTCTGTTGAAAATTAAATTAAAAAAATGCAATATAAGCAAAATCGGCATGTTAAAGATGTAGGTGCTGCAACATTAGTTGGAGCCTCAATAAAACCGTGCATTTATTCTATAGCGGTGTAACTCAAGCTGCACTATCGCTACAACATTATAGCAAGCGGCGTGAGAGCCAGTGGAAGAACCAATGGGGAATATATAGAGGAGGTAGCATGCAATGATTGGACTACTTCGAGCCTGTGTCTCTCCAGAGAGCCGAGGTGTGTGGGGTCGTGGTCCGAGTATCAAGATTCTCAGTCCGGTTCCTGCAGGGTGAAGAGTGTTTGTGGTGCAGCGTGCAGAGTGATAATGGTGCATGTTGTAGGCTGTTTGTGGTGCAGCGTGCAGGGTGATAATGGTGCAGCGTGTAGAGTGTTCATGGTGCAGCGTGTAGAGTGTTCATGGTGCAGCGTGTAGAGTGTTCATGGTGCAGCGTGTAGAGTGTTCATGGTGCAGCGTGTAGAGTGTTCATGGTGCAGCGTGTAGAGTGTTCATGGTGCAGCGTGTAGAGTGTTCATGGTGCAGCGTGTAGAGTGTTCATGGTGCAGCGTGTAGAGTGTTCGTGGTGCAGTGTGTAGAGTGTTCATGGTGCAGCGTGTAGAGTGTTCATGGTGCAGCGTGTAGAGTGTTCATGGTGCAGCGTGTAGAGTGTTCATGGTGCAGCGTGTAGAGTGTTCATGGTGCAGCGTGTAGGGTGTTCGTGGTGCAGCGTGTAGAGTGTTCGTGATACAGCGTGTAGAGTGTTCATGGTGCAGCGTGTAGAGTGTTCGTGGTGCAGCGTGTAGAGTGTTCGTGGTGCAGCGTGTAGAGTGTTCATGGTGCAGCGTGTAGGGTGTTCGTGGTGCAGCGTGTAGAGTGTTCGTGATACAGCGTGTAGAGTGTTCATGGTGCAGCGTGTAGAGTGTTCGTGGTGCAGCGTGTAGAGTGTTCGTGGTGCAGCGAGTAGGGGAGAGGGGGAGTCTGGGATCCGCTGTGACACCGCGGGACAGGCGACAGAGAGCGAGGGGCTGGCAGAGTGTGGACTACAAGGCGATGAAGGCCACGCATTGGCCCGTGAGGCAACTTTAATGCTCGGGTACACTGCGGTACAACGGAGGTATAAAAATAAACAAATTCTAGATAGCAAAATAATAATATGTGTGTGGTGGCCATGTGGTGACTGTGCATAACTGACATGTGTGCTGCATAACTATAGTGTGTGTGTTCTTGGTTCTTTCGGTAAAGTCACATAGAAGGGAAACAATAAAATAATAAAAATATTAAACAATAAAATTCTCACGACGTTTCGACTGCAACACAAGCAATCATCATCAGGTGGCGGGTTTTTTTTTTACGTTAGCACCACGGAGAGCAATTTGGCAGTTATTCAGATGGACGAGTCCATCTACGTTCGGAAAAGAGGAGGGGGAGACGAAAATAATGGATGCGGTCTGAAAGCCACCGTAAGCGTGAACAATCAATTAAGACCCGAAATGGTTTATCAAATCCTTCCAATGATTGCTAAGCCAGAATCCATCTTCTCGGTTGAAATTGTTTCTGTGTTTGTATATGTGGATAGCCTCATGAACGAATCTCTCATGGTAGCCAGATGGCTTGCAAAGAACCTCTGTCTTGGAGAAGTCAATGTCACGTGAGCCTACTGAATAATAACAGTGATCTGCCACGGCCGAGGTGTTGGTCCTACCGTGTTTTAGGTCTGCTTTGTGTTCACGCATGCAGTCCGAGACATGTCTCGAGACATGTCTCGGACCGCATTCATGAACGAATCTCTCATGGTAGCCAGATGGCTTGCAAAGAACCTCTGTCTGACTACCATGAGAGATTCGTTCATGAGGCTATCCACATATACAAACACAGAAACAATTTCAACCGAGAAGATGAATTCTGGCTTAGCAATCATTGGAAGGATTTGATAAACCATTTCGGGTCTTAATTGATTGTTCACGCTTACGGTGGCTTTCAGCCCGCATCCATTATTTTCTTCTCCCCCCTCCTCTTTTCCGAACATAGATGGACTCGTCCATCTGAATAACTGCCAAATCGCTTTCCGTGGTGCTAACGTTGAAAAAAATAAAAACGCCACTTTTTTCAAAATTTCTTGCTGTGGTTTTCACACCTGATGATGATTGCTTGTGTTGCAGTTGAAACGTCGTGAGAATTTGATTGTTTTATATTTTTATAATTTCATTGTTTCCCTTCTACATGACTTTACCGAAAGAACCAAGAATATGAATCTCTGCAGTCACGAAAGCTTTAAATCAAAATGTATAGTGTGTGTGTGTGTTTACTTCAATACTGTATAAACCAATGCCTTTTTCAACTCGTGCGTGCGTTCCATCATTCCCTGCAAAATAGAACACGCATCCCGTTAACATTCAATACCTCACAGCTCAACGTAATATCTCTCTTCAAAGTAGCTTCAGGAGCATATTGATTTTTTTGGGCTTCAAGGTGATGTTCTGAATTGAGCAGATAGTGGTTGGCTCGATGTATGGGGCCGGATATTTGACATCTTGGAGACGGAATTTATGTGCAAAAGTCTCACAGAACACTTCTGCTTCATCCCATGCTCACTTTGCCCTCTTCTTCACTTCCAAAACGAATGCCATTCGTTCCTCTTTCCCTGTTTCCCCATCCCCCACTCAGCCCCTTCCGTCCCTCAGTCCCCCACCAGCTCCCCACTCCGCCTGCCCTCAGCGACTTCCCCACGTGAGTGTGGAGGAACTTCTCTGTTGCCATCTCCAAAGTCCATCTCACCACCTGACCCCTTGACCCTATCCCTGCTTCCCTTCTTCCCTCCGTCCTTCCCTCCTTACTCTCCCTTTTCAATTCCTCTCTATCCTCCGGTGCCTTGAAATTTGGCCATCATCACCCTTCTCGTTAATATTCCCTCCCTCGATGCCAACCACATCTCCAACTATCGTCCCATTTGCCCACTTCCCTCCCTCTCCAAAGTTATTGAGCGTCTCGTCCCCTCCCGCCTCAACAACTCCATCGGCACCCGCTCCCTCTACCCACTCCGCCAGGCTGGTTTTCGCCCCCCGCTCCACTCCACAGAAAGCGCCCTCGTTACCATCCAGAACCCCCCCACCACCAACTCGGCCCACTCACGTCTCTGCCCAGTCCCCGTTCTCCTCGACCTCGGCTTTGTGAACTGTCGATCGTCCCACTCTTCCCTCGACTCTCTCTCATCTCGCCATTTCCGGCCCTGCTTTATCCTGGCTCCAATCGTATCTATCTCTACGCTCATCCTCGGTCTCCCTCAATCACTCGGCACTCAGGGCCGGATTAAGGCACGGGGCTTTAGGGGCTGCAGCCCAGGGGCCTCCGCCAGCTGGAGGGCCTCCAGAGATTAAGTGAAAAGTTATTTCACTTGTGAATGCTGAATTTTATTTGTTGTTAGCCTTGTAAAAATATATTTTATTTTTCTTTAGCTTTGTTTTCCTTTTGAAAATATTACTGGGGGCCTCACAGGACCTGTAGCCCAGGGGCCTACAACATCTTAATCCGGTCCTGCCTGCAGGAGCTCGGTGGCCAGCTGAGTCTGTTGTTTGGTTACCTAGCCAGTCTTCATGATGGACATTGAGGTCTCACACCAGCATGATGGAATATGCATCAAACTCTGTTATTTTTGACAGGGTTTCAGTTTTCAGGTCGTCAAATATGTCATTGTTTTCACTGGGTGGTCTGTACACAGCTCCTATGAGTAGCTTCTGGGAACGTAGAGTCACTATGAGTCGCATAAGTTCCATGTCTGTTGGATCTCATTGGTAGTCATGATGGATGGCAATTCCTTGTAGGCAGTACACTGCAATGCCCCCTCCAGTTGAGGCAGCTCGATCTCTTCAGCAGCACGTGGTGTAACTGGTTATTGCAATGCAGTCCACTCCGTCTTGAACCGTTTGGTCCAGGAATATTTCCATAAACGATGACAATTGTGGGTTATTTATCCTTGCACAAGTAAGCGAGTTCTCTGATGTTGGATCTCAGGCTACGGATGTTGGCCTCTTATGATTCGCAGTTCCTTGTCTCGTAGTCGGTAGGCAGGTGTATGTCGTTTCCATTTTAATCCGTCCTTTCGAGGACTGGCTTTGTGTCTCGTCGTAATTGAGTTGGGTTCAAGGGTCGCTGGCCCTTGACCACAGGCACATTGACCAGCGTGGTGGAGGTATAACGCGAAGCATGACCTCATCTGAAAGCATCCCAAGACTGGTAACAGATCGTGCTCAGGCATGAGCTCCTCGGTAAAGGGTGGGGTGACCAGCTTTTCTGTTATACCCACTTCTTCTTCTTCTTTCGTATGGCATTGTTGGAGATTGCAACAGATTACAAATTGATGTCGAGATTTTATATTCATTAAATATTTATATCCATTCGACTGCTTCAGGAGTAGCCAAGTCGATTTGTTTCAGATCACCGTTATACCCACAAAAATGAAGTTACGTAAACTACCCTGATTAAACTACCCTAACCCTAATATCGAAATGCCCCCCACTATAAAAAATAGAATAATAACTGCGTTAATTTTTTTCTATGTTCCAGTAATATGAATGATTTTGTACGACCGGTATTTAGAGAGAGATGTGAATGCGTTTCGTCATCACGTGTGGTAGGGCTGGGTGGTGCTGAGTGGTCCGCGGGCCGATAAGGTTTGACAAACACCACCCTAAGCTCATGAATTGTCGGTCTCAAATTGAGGCACCAGTTTTAATCCTCCGTACCCGTTATGTTGAAGCTGCCACCTTGGATGTATCAGTCCGTGCAACATGCTTAGCTGTCATCGCACCCATGACGTCATCTGAACTTTACATTTCACACTGCCATCAATTATTGACATCCACACTCTGCCTTTATGCACACGGAATGCATAATTATATTGCAATAGGGGTTGTGTGATCGTGAGTTTGTTAACTTTTTAAATTAATGGTGGTGGGTCAAAAAAGTCAAAGAATGTATTCAATTTTAAACATTCTGTTATTGGATCTCTGTGACGTAGGATTACAATTGTACATTTAAATGTTGTTTGTCTTCTCAGAGTATATAAAAAAAATATAATCCGGACACTTGGAAATGCACATCAAGACACATTTATGGACACACATACCGAGCAGCACAGTAGGTAATCTTTGCTGACCTTGTAATGCAGATGTTGCTGCAGCCAGTTAACCCGACTGGACTAGAATGTAGAGGAAGATGATGAATGGAGCAATGCAGCCAGGGTGGAGTTTAAGAGCACCGCATGCCATTTCAGTGCCTACGACTACACATCCATAATTGAGAAACATATATGGTTTGCATAGTACATTGAGAGTGCAAATACTGATATCAAATGCCTCCTGCGGAGGCCTACCTTGGCCAAGAGTTGATACTTTAATGACAATTGGCAAGTTGGCTTGACAGCCCCAAAATATCGTCCTTGGCCCTTTACAGCATCAGAAGAATGGTACTGGCAGTCCCTGGCTTACAAAGGGGTTCCGTTCCTGAGACTCATTCATCAGTTGAATGGTTCGAAATTCGGAACACAACAATGTACTGTATTTAAATGTTCATATGGTCGGTGATATATTAATGTGTCACGGCTTAACAAAAATGGAAGCATTGCTAAAGTCATGAATAAAAAATAGTGCACATTTGCATGGAATACTGTGATAAATATGGAATCCATAGAGAGACCTGAATCTGTAAGTATGTATCAAGAACCTCCAGGGCACTGCTTCGAGGTTTTTGACTGCAATGTAACTTTCGACCCTGAGAAGGATTCTTTACAAATCTGTCTGTCGCCTGATGAAGCTAGTTGTAATTACCGGCGTAACGTCACGTTACTCGCATAGTAAATGTTGTGGATTTGCTCTCCAACACACCGGTGTGCTGTACCAATAACGAATTGGCATGTTCGGTTTACGTGACAAACCTTACTAATTGGCTGTGTCGGGTGGTGGCGGGTTTAACGACACACTTATATTTATGCGATCTAACTCAAAAATAGCTCTACTATGATTCGGTTTTATTTTCTCTTACCGCAACCGCTGTTTTTTTTGTTGGAAGGGGTGGGATCAGGTCCCGCCACATCTGCACACACACATAGAAGCACACACGCACGCACAAACACGCCAACGACAAAGATCCCCCGTGTAGCCTTAACAGACTGTCGGGGCAAGTGCTGTTAACGAGCACCTATGAAGGCCGGCACGGCACACGAGGGGGTGGGTGGCCAAAACCACGCCCGGCCGCCTTTGCCTCACCAAAGGCGATGTTTACACATCGCACCAGATAGTACTCATTTGAGGCTGAGTCGACCTAGGGGAGGCCCAGGACCCATTCATATAATAGTCACTGGGGTTGGTCGTGAGTGGGTATTGAACTCAGGTCACCGGTTTGGTAGCGCAGCGCGCTAATCGTTGCTCTACCGCTCCACACACGCACATACACTCACTTTCACACAAAGACAAAGATCCCCCGTATAGCTATAACAGACTGTAGGGGTAAGTGCTGTTTGCGAGCATCTATGAAGGCCGCAACGGTACACGAGGGGGTGGGTGGCCAGCACAAATTCTAACGAAAGCTCGTTCGTAAGTGCGGATGTTCTTAAGTTGGACGTTCGTAATTCGATGACTGCCTGTACGTATCCGTGCCTCCACACACAGAGCTACGAGCCCAGAGTTTATAGACGCCATTGGTCTACTTGAGGCTCATCTGCCTTTAGTAATACATAGGTTACCCAGTATCTCACGATGATGCTGTGGGTACCATTAGTCTTCGAGGGGCTTATCTGCCTTCAGTATTCAGAAACTTACCCAGGGTCCTGCTGCCCTGTTTTGGCTGCCATTGGTTTGCGTGATGCTCAATCTGCCTTCAGGTATAGCACCACACCAGAATATTAAGCACAATATCGTATATCTAAATGACATGAATTGATTACGTTTCTGGAAGACCTTCGCCACTCTGCTACAGTTTGGTCCACTCCCTTCACTCCCTCTCTTTGTGCCCTCATTAGACGACAACACAGAACTTACTTACACGTGCACATAACTTTAAATGTGTTGCTTCATTATTTATCGAATGCTGGACACCTGCAATGCTGAAAATGCTCTCCCCTCCGCCCTGTTTCGTCTGGCTTTGAGACTTCTTGACTGCACCCACGTTGTGAATGGGGGAGACACAGATGGCCGGTGGGACGTACCGCTGACTACATCGTGGTATCACGCTGCAATGCTGGTTTTACTACTGCAGTTGTTTGCTAACGGTGCTCGCTCGCTGCTCAAGTCTACGGAGCCGATAAAGGGGTGTGTTTGGTGTGATGTGTGATATCGTGGGAATGGTGGAGATGTGCTTTAATACCATACCGATTGGGCACACTAAATTCCATCCGCAAATATACAGATCTGGATTCTTGTAAGTCATGTTTAGCTTGGTTGGATTTTCTTCATTGTCACAATATCTGCTCACGGATGGTTGTAACATAGTATTGCACAATAGTTTTAGTTTAAAACTTGGCAATGCAACCTGCAAAATAAAATGTTAGGAACGTTACTCACAATTGTGCAATGATAAAAATGCATTTGCCACTTTGTGAATGCAGATAACCTCATGCATTGATAATAAAACAAAATCAATTAGGGTAAGATTAATAATAAATAAATAAACACTGCGCGACAAAGTAGACATTGAGTAGTGATTTTCCTGATTAAAATGAACATTTCGGGAACACAAATTAATCCGTAAAATAATATTTAACTTTTATATTTACATTAAATAGCAACAACAAAGCCAGTGTGCACAACCCTTAAACAAGTATGCATGTATATTGAACTTCTTACGTAGCCAACCGTGCTAATCGGAGGTGCAGAACCCTTTTGAGTGAGCACGACTGAGATCACACAGTATGCTTGCTGTAGAACTGCAACAATTAATCTAGATTGGTTTTAAACAGCCTGTACTATAATGCGTGTCCGCACACTCAGCATCCAACACCAACATTCACGAATTACACTCAAAGACTCCGTTTGTGAAGAGAAATGCAAAGGTGCACAAATGCAGCGATGAGCATCGCGGCAGCAATTTGAGGTCGCAATTTGTACACTGATCTCGATTGTCTAATTACAGAACCCTGCCCTCCGGTTGGGGCCACAGTGGGGTAAACACTCACCAGCCACTTCTTACATAGATCCCACGTGGCTGCCATTAACTGCCAGGCTGCGTAATGCCATTGTGGGGTTTCCCCCCCTAAAATGTAAGTTCTGGCCAAAAAACAAAAATCATTCCATGTTAACAGAGGCCTTGAATTAAAGGTTTCCACTACAAAAGGTTCAGAGTGTGGGAACTTCCACGATGGCATATATTTGCCCATTTGATGATGTTAAATTATTCACTCTTCGTTCCACGGATAGCACCCAATCCTAAAGCAGAAGTGGCGGTGCAGCGGAGACACCAAAGCGCCGTGTGTAGTTATACTGCGGCTGTGTATGTCAGTGCAGCTGCATTCACAATGCAGAAGCTGCGCCAATGGGGTTCAAGCGGGTTACAATCTGTCCGCGCATTTCTGCCGGAGCAGACCATATTTTATGAGCTCATAGCAGGCAAAAGATTTATCTTAGAAGGTCTTGGTGTGTGGGGTTGCACCGCAAATCGTGTGGAATGACTGCACCTCCCCTCCCCCCATACCGAATTGTGTGGGTGTTCTTTCGTGTTTTTGCATGCAGAAATGCAGAACATGGATTTCCAAGCAATGTCCGCTTTTCTCGAGCAGCAGACATTGCAGCTCATACCGCCGTGGGGAATTCAACCGCGCGGAGGGAATGTTTTCTTCCCCAGGTTTTGGATGAATTGGGAAAACTATTCCACTGATATGTTCACAAACCCAGCAGCCACTTTTCAGCTGAATCGTCGCTTCTCCCGTCTCAAAGTCATCCACAGCTTTCTACCGCTCGTATAGACAGCGGAGGAACGATTAAGTGGTGGAATTTTTTTGATCAGCTTGAAAAAACGAGTGCTGCAGTTGTAATAGTTTAGAATCTTGTCTTGGTATTGTTGTGGATTGAAGAAGGATGGGAGGCATTTGGTAGTGATATACATTGATTGAAAATGTATTGCCATTCATACAGTACGATACTCACGTGAAAATGCCACGACATTTTTTCTTCACCGTGACACACGTGCAAGTGGTAGTCACAGTGTACATTGCGTGGATTACTCATCAGCGGTGTTGTGGAGAGAACTGGAGATTAAAAAAGAATCGATGTTAAAACATTGCAAAATACCACATTGAATGCAACTTCCATGTTTTTTTGCCTTCAAATTATTTTTGACAAGTTCCTTAAAAAAATAATAGCAGCACATTTTTGCACTGCAGCACCCGATAACCAGTACCAAATCGATAACCAGTACCAAATCTATAACCAGTACCAAATCGATAACCAGTACCAAATCGATAACCAGTACCAAATCGAGCAGAACTTGCCACGTGAGAGGTCCCAGCGAGACGAGCGCAACTCGACTCGTCAGTTGCCCAACCCCCCCGCAGCCTTCTTAGGAGAGTACGGCATGCATGCATGATTCCGACCCTGATTCTAAGGCGGTAAGGTGCCGAGATGTCAGCTACCTCGCCTGCTATACAGGAGGTCGTGGGTTCAATCCCGACCCTGACGCCTGCTGCTGTATATTTGGAGTTTGCATGTTCTCCCCGTGATCGCGAGGAATTTTCTCCGAGTCCTCCGGTTTTTCCTTCCACATTTAGAAACGTGCGTTTAGAGAATTTGGCTGCTATAAAATGTCCACGTAATTAATCCACTTCGTTCAGCTATCATTTGTGGCCAGGTCGCTCTTGAAAAAGAGCTAGATAGCTCAGTGGGCCTTACCTGGTAAAAAAAATAATCATATTTTTTTAAAATTTATACCATGCAGCAGACAATGATTGAAAGGCTCAGTTAGATCTTCGCTAGGCTAATGGTGTATCACTACCCCGCATCTTGTACCCAATCCATATTAAGCTGCATTTTTTTTAAATCTGCGGAACATCCTTACATTTGACAACAACAACAAACCCGTAACACATTTGACAATGCCACTGTGTGGCCTTAAAAGGAATATGTAGAATAAACACCGTTTCAAGCAATGGCCCTTCCTCATGGTACATTTCTTGAAACATCGCCCGTTATATATGTTTTCCTTTTAGTTAAGGCCACAGTGCCATTGATGAATGTGTTGAGTTTTGTTTGGTTAAATTGTGCAGTGGTAAGGCCCACTGAGCTATACAGATATTTTTCATGAGCGATCTGGCCACAAATGATAGCTCAACGAAGTGGCTTATCACGTGAAAATGTATCAGCTAAATACTCTGAAAGCTTGTTTCTAAATATTGAAGGAAAAACCGGAGGACCCGGAAAAAAATCCACGCGACCTCGGGGAGAACATGCAAACTCCAAATAAACAGGCGTCAGGGTCGGAATCGAACAAACGACCTCCTGCATACCAGGCGAGGCAGTTAACATCTCACCACGGTGAGGCTTGTGACTGGGCCGAAACCTTAAACTAAACAACACTTCATACACACGGTGTAATCACTTGCATCAGTGTTGGTGCGGTGCTGAAACGCAGGTTTATCTGCTACATTTGTAGTTCTGATTGTACAGCCACCACTGCAATTGTACGCGTCGTGACAGGTACCGCAATATCCGACCATGTGCTCACCGAGAGCTGCATTGGTTTCCGATTGCTGAACGAATAACATTTAAGGTCACACTCATTACACAGAGTGCTTGCCATAAATTAAACGCAATACCTTGCTGAGCTCATTAACCATCACGCAAACTCCGGTCATCCTTGCAGCAGCTTTTGGCTAAACATCGAACAAAGATGACAATTTAATCGTGCACTTTCAGATGCACTTCTGCGGCCGTCTGGAACGCTCTTCTTTCCGATATTATGAAGCCACTGGAACTAGAACTGCTTTTTGTGTTTAGTTTGTTGTCCTTCCCCCGCACCTCCGATGAGCACGGATGTCTACGTACGGTGCGAAGGAAGTTCAATATACATATACATACGTAAAGTAATGTATAGAATCCACCCCTTTTAAAGGTCTGTACTTTTAACGTGTTGGCTTTGAATTGGTGCCAATGACAAAAAGTGCAAGTAACAATTGACAATTCTTGTGAACTTAAAATGCCATGTAAATTGACTTACCAAACATAACTGCATAATTCAGTTCAGAATCTTCTAATCGTTTGCCACAATCCAATTTATATCTAAAAGAGTCCAGGCTCTCTGGATTTTGTTCCATTTTAATGATTGAGTTTCCATCTGCAGCACCAGGGTCACAAGTCATCTGAACATCCTTGATCATTTGTGTTCTTTGACTTCCACGACAAAGGATTGATGGATTCACAGGGATGCCAATCTGAAAGAAGTAAACATACAGACACACAGTAGACTACTTTTACACACGCACATTTGTACATTTTGAGAGGGCACTACTGAGATTACATTGAATTTTAAATGTAAAACTCTCCGTTGTGTAGAGTTGATCGAGAGATCTTACTTGCTCTCCGCATTTGTGGTGAACATGCAAACAAAACATAATCTGATAATATATGCATTGTCTAAAACAATAATGTAACTATAATGTTACATGCATTGTCTTTTGGGGTTGCCTGGTGTGACACTGGTGGTGAGACTAGGCCATTAAGATGGCTGCTGCTCTCTCTGGTGTAGGCCAATCAGTTTAATCGACAATGCACAGATTATAATTATATTATATTAATATTATAATTATATTAATATTATATTCTTAGCTGTTTCAGTAAAGTTACGTTGAAGCGAAAAAATAAAATAATAAAATATATATAAAATAATACTAATTTTCACGACGTTTCGACCATAACACAAACGGTCGTCATCAGGCGTGCCGGTTTGCATTAATTTATTTATTTTTAGACGGTGTGTCTATTTATTTATTTAAAAAACTGCGGCGCCACGCGCAGCGATTTGGAAGTTTATTTAGAAGGACTAGTCCATCTTTGTTCTGAAAAGAGGAGGGGGGAGTCGAAAAATATGGCAAGCTACCTTTTTTGGATGTCCTAATAAAAAAGAGACCTGATGGTTCAATGAGCCACTCTGTCTACAGGAAAACTACCCATATGGATGCTTATCTGAAACCGGATTCCCATCACCATCCATCACAGAAGAATTCTCTCATCAAGACTCTGTCCCATAGAGCCCAATGCATATCCGATCAGGAACACATAGGCAGTGAACTCAAGCACGTACACCAAGCTCTTAAGGCTAATGGTTACTCCGACTATACAATCCGAAAAGCTATCACTCAAACCATGAAGGACCCTCCTTGAGGAGCCTTTCAAAACCATCACTTTACCCTACATTGCGGGGATCACAATAAAGATCTCCAAAATCTTGAATAAACACAAGATCCAGGTCCATTTCAACACATTACATAAAATCCGTGATCTGGTTCCGTCTGTAAAAGATGTGATTCCGGACATACAGTACCCTGGTGTCTACAAACTAAGTTGCCTCTGTGGTAGTAGTTACATTGGAGAAACCAAACGCCATGTCTCGGACCGCATTCGTGAACACAAAGCAGACCTTAAACACGGTAGGACCAACACCTCGGCCGTGGCAGATCATTGTTATAATTCAGTAGGCTCACATGACATTGACTTTTCCAAGACAGAGGTTCTTTGTAAGCCATCTGGCTACCATGAGAGATTCGTTCATGAGGCTATCCACATATACAAACACAGAGACAATTTCAACCGAGAAGATGGATTCTGGCTTAGCAATCATTGGAAAGATTTGATAAACCATTTCAGGTCTTAATTGATTGTTCACGCTTACGGTGGCTTTCAGACAGCATACATTAATTTTTTTCGTCTCCCCCCTCCTCTTTTCAGAACATAGATGGACTAGTCCTTCTAAATAAACTGCCAAATCGCTGCGCGTGGCGCTGACGTTTTTATAAGTAAATGAATACACTTTTTAAAAAATAAATAAATTAATGCAAACCGACACACCTGATGACGAACGTTTGTGTTAAGGTCGAAACGTCGTAAGAATTTTTATTGTTTTACATATTTTATTATTTTATTGTTTCCCTTCAACGTGACTTTACCGAAAGAGCTAAGAATATGAATTACTGCAGTCACGAAAGCTTTAAATCAAAATTTATATTAATATTATAATTATATTAATATAATAATTATATTATTATATTAATAATATAATAATTATATTATTATATTAACATTATAATTATATTACATTAATGTTATAATTATATTATTTTAATTAATATTACAATTATAATCAGAGCGTGATTGTTTGCATGTTCACCACAAGCACTGCTTGAGCTTAGTGCGAACTTGATTCATTGCAGAAGGTTTCTATCTGTTGTTTGAACATCTTAACACAACTCCTGTTCCATTGCCAGGTAAGGGCAAAACCTGTTCTTATTTTAGTCACAACGTCTCATGCTGTTCGGTGCACGAGACAGCGAAGTTAGTGCTCAGTCGGTGTTAGTGGCCGACGTTCGTGACGGCTCGCTGCTATCATCCCTGTCGCTCTAGCACCCCCCCAGCCCTGGACCGTTCCCGTTCCGTTGTGATGTGCACCGATGCCCACTTTATTGAGGGACGATACTGACACGTAAAATAAACATCGATCGATGCTTACCCTTGCCTTGAAGACTTGGTGTTCGGCGAACCGTATGTCCAAGGCGCATGTGTAGTTGCTGCTGGGTACTTGAGCAAACGCTGTGAGACAAAACACCGCACACGTGTTGCGTTGGTATCAAACGAAGGGAACACAAAAACACCACGTGTTTCTCCTTTGTTAAACAAACTGTCAGGCCTCGTGACGTTTGGTGACGGGGCGGCAAGAACACACGGAGGTCTCTCTGAGTGAGGAGAAGTATCGCAGCAGCGGCTGTTTGCACGAGAAGCGACGGCAGAGGGGACTTTGGAGCGAGTTAGCAATCCCAGCAGCTGGTTGGGCAGCATTGGGGAGTTGGTTCCCATCACGTGGTTGGGCAGCATGGGGGAGTTGGGTCCCATCACGTGGTTAGGCAGCATTGGGGAGTTGGGTCCCATCACGTGGTTAGGCAGCATTGGGGAGTTGGGTCCCATCACGTGGTTAGGCAGCAATGGGGAGTTGGGTCCCATCACGTGGTTAGGCAGCAATGGGGAGTTGGGTCCCATCACGTGGTTAGGCAGCATTGGGGAGTTGGGTCCCATCACGTGGTTAGGCAGTATTGGGGAGTTGGGTCCCATCACGTGGTTGGGTAGCAATGGGGAGTTTGGTCCCATCACGTGGTTAGGCAGCATTGGGGAGTTGGGTCCCATCACGTGGTTGGGCAGCAATGGGGAGTTGGGTCCCATCACGTGGTTGGGCAGCATTTCAAAGAAGAAGAGTAGGAGCCATTGTTGTTTGTTTTTGTCTTTGACCAAACAAGTTCGGACAGCCGCATCACAAGCCCAGCTACTTGTACACAAACACAGCAGCGGGTATACGGCAGACGACAACACCACACACAATCTGACTTAAACAAAATAGGTGATGGAATAAACTGCGTCGTATTTAGATTCCCGCCCACTTTAGTTATTCTTCAACAATACAGTTCGACTGTTGTACATTTTGTTGTCACCAAGACATTCCATAGTCACCCATTCCACGCCACATTTAATAAATTTTCTTTACGTTCAATAATGTTTAGGATTCACGGGTTGTATTTGTAACGGCTCTCTGCAAGGGGGAAGCCAAAAAGCAGCATGCAACTCCAGTGCCGCGACGTTGACCCACCCCTGGGTGAGATTCACAAAGCTGTCAACCCCTCTCAGTGCCCTACCTTGTTACAGACCAGTTCACACCTTATTGGTCACCCCGTGCCCCCTAGATATCTCAACGTGCAACCTACAGAGTTCCATCACGAGGGAGAAACACAAATATGCAGCAAAATAGTTTTTTGCCCGTATTGAAACGGCTGTACGCCGTATGGACCTGAAAACTCAATTTCCCTCTATAAGAGCACGGGTAAACCGTACGGGTTGACAGGTTTGGATTCACACAACACTAAAGGCCTCCCCTTAGTGTTGTGCAATACAACTCCCCCGGCTGGTGTTCAACTCCCCCGGCTGGTGTTAAACTCCCCGGGCTGGTGTTCAACTCCCCCGGCTGGTGTTCAACTCTCCCGGCTGGTGTTCAACTCCCCATGTGCCACCGCGGTCCTCACTCACCTGGCGCAATTGCAGGCAACAGGAGCAGCAGCAGAAGCAGCAGCCACGGGGTGCTGCTGCAGAGCGCCGTGCTCGCAAGGCTGGACATGGCTTTCAGCAAAGTTTAGACAGTTAAGTGCGCGTGTACGCTGAAGCTCGTTCGCACCGTGCGTAGCCAATCGTGCTAATCGGGAAGTGCCGCGGGCTGGGGAAGTACAACAAACTAAACACGAGAAAAGCGATTCAAAAGAAAAAAAAACATTTTCAGTTCGAACGAACTGCCACCACAACTTCGCGTGGATGACAAGTCGTTCATCTACATCGCCCCCGTGCGTTGTCGGGATATATTTTTTCTGCTCACAACATTTCCGAGGTGATGTCACACGCATTCCCAAAAGTGAACCGACCGTTACCACTTATCGGTAGATGTTTTTTTTATATATATATATAAAAAAAATCTCCGAAGACCAACGGAGATTTTAAAATGAAGGTGGTCTGGGATTGTGGCTTTCGCGAGGCATGGGATCCGACTCAAGGCTCTCTCAACTGTCTTAACGGAGGTGGTGGTGGTGGTGAAAAGAGACGAAGTTGTCCTCTCAAACAAGGCTTCTTCTTGATAATAGGTTTTTACCCTTTTTTTTGGCAACAAAACAGGTGTTAAGATGTTAAAACACCAAACTTAAACCTTTAACAAGGAATCATGTCTGCATTAACCACAATGCTTGTGGTCAGAATACAAACAAAAAAATTACTCTGATAATATATGCATTGCTGTATCACGTGATACAGCAATTTTGCTGTGACGGTTTCCACCTGAAGATGGAAGCTTGTGTTGCCTCCGAAACGTCGCAATTTAATTTAGTTGTTTTCATTTATTTTATTTTACCTTGCAGTCACGAAAGCTTCAAATCTAGAATATATGCATTGTCGTTGAAATTGATTGGTCCTTACCAGAGACAGCTTTCTTTTGAGCCTCGTCTCAAACGGTGTTAGATCAGAGGACGCCAAAAGGCGAACAGCCCAAAAAAAGGGGAAAAACCTATTATCATATTTTGGTTCTGGCAAAGGAGGTCCCATAATGTAGATCAGGGGTGGGGAACCTTTTTTCTGCCAAGGGCCATTTGGATATTTATAACATCAAAATAATCAACCTTAAAATTAGCCTGTTATATTTGGTCAAACATTTAATTAACTCACCCCTAATGTGATGGCTGGAACTGTTTCTCTTTGGCGAGGCGTGTGATGTTAGCTGGTATTGATGATGTTGCTACTCGCAACTGCTTTTCCAGGTTTGCTCCTAGATTTATTGAATTCCGAGTCCCGCCTGCGGTTGCCTTGGCAGGGCCAGAGACCAAATGATTTTTCGGGCCTCATACGGCCCGCGGGCCGGACGTTCCCCACCCCTGATGTAGATGCTCACCCCGAGCTCTCATTACTCTGATAGTGCTTCTCTTTGTGCTGTACGCCTTTTGGCGTCCTCTGGTCTAACACCATTTGAGACGAGGCAAAAAGAAAGCTGTCTCTGGTGTAGAACAATCAGTTTCAATGACAATGCATATATTATCAGGGTATGTGTTCTGTTCGCATTCTGACCACAAGTATTGTGGTTAATGCAGACATGATTCCTTGTAAAAAGGTTTCAGTTTGGTGTTTTAACATCTTAACACAGCCGTTTTGTTGCCAGAAAAATGGGAAAAAACCTATTATCATATTTTGGTACTGGCAAAGGCGGTCCCATGATGGCTTCTTCTTCTTCTTGACTCGTGATCTCGGGAGACTAAGATCCCCCCCACCCCCCGCGTCGCTTCGGTCATGCGGGGTTGGGGGGAGGGGTGATTGACCATAACTCACCACAAGGGATTTCGGCCCGATGCGCTACTTCTCCTCCTGCCATCTTCTCCGTGCCCGTTAAATGATTTTTCGTTGACGTGACAAGAACGCCGTCAGGGGAACCTCGATGGAGATTTCTGCTGCTCAGGGCACATTGGAGTCGACCGCTGTTAACGGGTTCACTTACGTAGGGCCGTGTTGTCCATGAGGCCACAGTAGGTAACGGGCTTACGAAAACTAGAGGGCCCTACGAAAAAAAATGACCGTGTTTTTTGTTGTATAATAAAACATGTGACCAAGATATCTTCATGAATAATCATGTATACATTGCAAGGATGGGTACAGTGTAGATACAAATAGGCAGTGGTGTCAATGTCAATCTTTTATTTCATAAGGTGAGAGAAATTAACACCGGAGATGAACGTTCCGAGATTTTTTCATTGCAAAATGATCAATGACATCTTCAAATATTTCTTTATCGCACAATCTTAGTCTCCATAGAGAGTCGTGCAAGGGAAGACAAGGCGGGGTTGTTGTCCTGCGGTTGATCAGAGACAGTTTTTGACATTTTTTGCTTAAAAAAAAGAACACTCCCCTTCACCATTCATTCCCAAGATGGCAAGATAATCAGCTTGTCAGATATTTGGGCTTTTAGTTTCGGGTTTCGTTGCTTCGTCTTATCGTGGTATCATTTTATATCCAGCTGACATTGGAAGTCTGGGGAGGGTGGGATCACCTAAAATGTAATAAAAAAAAAACCTAGCTAAATTCTCAAAAACATTGGACATTTTCAGTGTAAGAAATGACATATGGTTAAATTATTTGAAATAACAAATACACAAAGCAAGATGCCAATAACAATCTCTAAACAAGCTAGACTAAACAGGAATATAAAACGGACTCAGGAAAAACATGATACTAGAATTTGATGAAGTACAGTCCTAAGCGCTCAGAGGCTATTTTTTGTTTTTCCAATTTAGCCTAAAATAGCATCCAAGTAGCCCTAGTCCCTGCCACTTTAAAATTATAATATATACGGTAAAATGGGGCAATGTGGCAACTTATTTTTCGATGCAATAATTTTGACAAAATGTAGTTTTTTTTATTAAAAATAAAGATTTTTTTTTTCTTTTTGCCACTTAATTTGTTGGCTACTAATTGCAATTTCTTTGCAGTGTTAACAAGTCGTTGACTCGTTGTAAGTGAGGCATATTAACACCTAAAATAACAGTTACATCTTTTTCAACGAAAGTAAAGCAACATGGCGCTCGCCACGAAGTCGTCCTATCAAAACGTTGCATTTGTTGTCGATGGAAATTAACGGCATCCTTTAAAAGCTGCGTCATCCAAAATGATAATAATAGTTACAAAATAGTTGAAGAAACTTTTGCTTATAATATTTTTAGGCTTACCATGTTTTTTTTTTCAATTTAAATCTGCTTATCTGCGGCACGCAGCGAATTAGGGCAGAGGCTAAATAATGAACGTATCAGCAGTGCCGACATCTGCCCAGCGTCTGGACGAAGTCGGCGTGAAACAAGCGAGTGACATCGACGGTAGTAGTCACATGGGGCAGCAGTAGCAACTGGAGAAAGTTATCACTGAGGGCCCACGAAACAGAAGTGCCTAGGGCCCACAAGAACCTTAATCCGGCTCTGGTCCTTCCACCGCACCTCCGATTAGCACGGTTGGGTACTTTAAGGTGCGAAGGAAGTTCAACATTGGTGGACACGTGCGTCTGCGTTTTCGCGAGTGATGATATGACTCTTGTTTTTTTTTTAGGTCGAATGGCTGGGTGAATAAAATTCCAATTTGTGTAGCGTATGCCCTCCTCCACCTGACATGGCGGAATAAATGAAGCTGTCACGTGATGAACTAACGTGACTATGTTTATTGCTGTGTGCAAGCAAACGGAGGGAGCTACAGTAACACCCTTCACGTCAGACATTGTTTTATATAGAGTTTGTTTTTAATTGGGCAGAAATGTAATACTGTGTTAAAATTGACATTTGAAAATACTGAGAAAAATCTGTCAAAATAAAAAATCAGTCGTGAAATATAACAGTGATAAAACATCAATATGCATTGGTTAACAAATTGAATTACAAAATGTCACTTTCCTTGCGTCATAGGTGACTAAGGGCCTCATTCCCACATCATCATCATCCGTGCGATCCTGAATTTTAGTCTCAACAGATGGGATGCGCATGCCACTCAAGGTCAATATCTTGACCAAGCCACCAACAGTCGCTAACAAATAACAACGAGAGGTCGGCCCACTAGCTAAGAGGTCAGAGCGCTCAGCCGACACCGCCGAGGCCTTAGGCTCGAATCCGTGTCCATGACCAAATCACTTTCTCAAGTGTAGCGAGGTTTTTGTCTCGGCAAGACGCAGATACTTGACATGCAGATGGCAAATTAACACACCTCTGGTGTGCGGTGACTGTGGTCAGAAGAGTGGAACGTAAAACCACTCCATTGCCCGATTCACAAATAGGAAGGAGAGGCATCATCATCATCACGGTAGCAGCGATGCATCACTCCTCTGCTCCTCACACAATTGTCTGCCTCATCAACCCCCTCGATGTGAAATGACAGCTGTCGCTCGACATCGTACGAAATATAACGATCTAAGCATGACCATTAAATGCTGCACACACAAAAATTATCACGTAACAAAAATATAACTTAATATTTTAACATTCCAGCATTGAAAATGTATGTTTAACTTCTTTCGCACAGTACGTAGCCAACCATACTCATCTGAGGTGTGGTTTATTGCAGTTTGATTTACATGTAACGAAAACTCCGCACGTATAAGTTGTGGCACTCGTGTGTATATTTTTATTTTTTACCTAAGCCAGGAGGCTGTGTAGCTTGGACATTTGTTTGGATTGAGAGGGACAATAATCGAACTTTCAAAGCTGAAACCCACCGGAGAATCGGTAGAAGAATATCGTGATTCCTGAGTAGCCCTGTGTCTTATGATGCAATACATTTAGCGTAACAATTGACAACTTCCTTAACCAGCTACCGTATATTTCCTCACAAGCGACGAACGAACGCCCGCTGTGTTGCTCCTTTTGCGTAATATTTTTGGTCGATTTTTTCTTTCTTTAATAAATTCTGTTATCGTTTCATTTACGTGTCATTTAAATAATATATATTACCTCGTGTTTAGAGCAGTACAACCTTTTGTTCTTATATATATATTTCTCAATGACTTGTCCACGTGTGTGAATGCGCGTGCATGTATTCGGTGTGTGAGTGAGTGTGTGAGTGTGTGTGGAAGATCGGCCTCTGTGGAGGAGGCTCGTGAAGGATGCTACTGGGCAGTTGGAGGCAGTCGCCCTCCAACAACGACGGAGGGCGGAGGAGCGACGCTCACAACAACGAACGGAGCACCGGGTGGCTAAAGCACAGCAGGTTGGCACAGTAGGGGGCACAGGTGGTGCATCAGCCAGTCATCTCAGTCAGTCGACCCGTGGCACCTGGGTCTGCCCTGTGACCTCCTGCCAGCGGGTGTTCGACACTTCACGTGGCCTCAAGGTGCACATGGCCTGGCACAAGCGTCGTGGAGACGTCACCGCCACTTAGTGGAGAATGGCGGTTGTTGTTGTTGTTGTGTGAGTGCGATCGTCCTCCTCATAACTCCGCCGGTCTTCTGCTTCCCTCGCTCACCTCATACGGCGCGATTCAAGCGTATGCTTCTCGAGCTGAACAATGAAACAAAATCACATCGCGATCAGAAATAACGACAAGGCAGCAAACGCGAACGATAACGCGGTGACGACATCGTTCTTCAGTCTGGCAAAGCCAGGACCCTTCATTACCCCCCCCCCCCCCCCCCCCCCACTTAGCGCGAGAAGTGCTCCCAAGTGACGTCATCACATCTATGTAAGGAACGAAACAGGTGGAGTTCCCCACAAATCTGGCTGTCGCCTGATGAAGCTTGCTGTAATTACTGGCGAAACGTCGTACTCAGATTGTACATGTTCGGTGTGGCTTCCTCTCCAACACACCGGCGTGCGGTACCAGTAACGAATTGGCGCGTTCTGTATACGTGACAAACATTACTAATTGGCTGTGTCTGGTGGTGGCGGGTTTAACGACACACTTATATTTTTATGCGACCGTAATTCTAATAAAAACCTCTATTGTGGAACACACTGAGACAGCCGACGTGTTGTTAGAGGATTCGAAACTTGCCGAAAAATGCGCGCACAGTGCGCACGCGTTGTGCGTGTTGCGTGTGACCCTGACTCTGTGATTAAAATGTCAGAGGTGGACAAATGGCTGAGGTCAGAGCACTGAGCTGGAATCGCTGAGATCCTGGGTTCGAACGCAGGTAGCCAGCCACCTGTACAGTAATTGAACAGGGTTCTCGAGCGTAGCAAGTCGGTCGTCTAAGCTCTGGTCACCAGAGACTGCACACACAAAAAAAGATCACGTGCTATAATTGTTCTGTGCAGTACTTAATTAGTCTTAAATTCCACCTCTGAGAATGAAAATATCGGCCTGAATGTCATGCAATGAGCTTACTCTCATATGAAGAGTGGGTGGGAAAGCGCTGCCCTTCTACTGTGTGGACCAAAGGTCACTTGAAGGGGTTTCAGAGGTAGCTCTGTGACATACACTTCCGTGGACCGTTCTTTAACAACAGGAGCTGTGCCGCTATGTGATAGATACGAATTCTCCGTCTCATGACGTGACCCCCAAAGCACAGTCGCGATACAATTGGGGAGAAAAATACATAACGTGGAGAGTTTCAAAAAGACCAAAGGCTCCAGTGAAAAAATAGTAATGAATTTAAAATATATATTCCAACAACAAAAATACTTACCGGCCCGTGCATCTTGACAAAACTTTTGTCGTCACAAAGTAGATGGCGATGGTAACGAACACGAAGGCGCACATCAGCGCTATGGAAATGCCGATAATGGGCCCCTGCACATTCTGTGCCGTCTTCCCCCCGGTCGGCGTGGCTGTCGATTTCAGGAGCACCCTGCCCATCGACGTCGCTCGACTCTCGCTCGGGGCCGCCGAGGCGTCAGTCGCGGCGAGCGCTTTCGTGCCAATTTGTCTGTCCGCCGCGACCGTGGTTGGGTCGACTCCCGCGGTTGCTCCGCTCTCCACGGCGGTGGTGGTGGAGGAGGAGGAGGAGGAGAACGAGGAGGTGGCGTTGCTCAAGTCGGGGCCGCTGCTCGGCGCTGTCATCTTGGGAGTTGAAGTGACGGCCGCAAGAACGGTCGTCATTTTGTTGATCGGCGCTTTTGAATCCGGGCCGGCGGCGGCGATCCTTCCTACAGTGACCCAAAGACAGGAGAGCAAGCATTGTTCATGATGATACGGTATTTTACGTTTATAAACCCTGACCGTTCTACCAGGTACTCACATGGTGAATTTTGTCTCGGTGTCGTGGTCAGAACTGGAAATGGGCCGTAACAACCCAGAGACGCCGTGGTCGTAGTGGTGGTGGTGATGATGGCAGTGACTTTTTAACTCGAATGCATCATTTAAGAAGGAACCAGGGTCAAGTGTTGTGGCGGAGAGTGTCGGTACAGGTACAATATTTGTACTGTCGATGTAATTAGCAAATGTCCGTCTGTGCGTGTATGTATGGATGACCACCGTGCGTACGTGACAGATAGGTGCAAGGAGTATGTGGGCAGTGCAGGATAGTGCTCTGCACTCCTCTCATCTCCAATAGCCCGGACTGACCAGCGTGGTGAAGTATGGTCAAAATATCGCAGCAGTGGATTGACAATACAGGCTTGTACATGCACATCAGATAACTTTTGGGCGGCAATGAAAAGACACCGGCTCTGCTTTAGATGTGGGACACCGATCGCCAATGTTTTAAATTTGTGTGATTTTTTTTAATTTGTGTAAAGACGACTTGGACGCACTTGTCTTGAGATGGTTTCTTTATTTAAGGAGCCACGTTCTCACACTGGAACAGGCGGAGACCCCCACTGCAACAGCCCCGAGTCTCCGGTGCATCTCCCTTAAAGACGGTCCGACGCCACGCCCCCATTCCCGAACCTTCTCGCTGGTTCTAGACGCTCGTTCTACCAGCAGACTCTACCATCCTCTTCCAAGGGAATTAGCTATTCTAGATCATTCCTTTCGTACTGCAAGCTGACTCCCCTATCGTTACCTCCCGTGGCCACTAGTCCATTCACACTGAAGGCTGACTCTACTGTCATTACCTCCCGTGGCCACTAGTCCATTCACACTGCAGGCTGACTCCCCTGTCATTAACTCCCGTGGCCACGAGTCCTTTCACACTGAAGGTTGACTTCCCTGTCATTACCTCTCGTGGCCACTAGTCCATTTGCACTGTAAGCTGACTTACCTGTCATTAACTCCCGTAGCCACTAGTCCATTCACACTGAAGGCTGACTCCCCTGTCATTACCTCCCGTGGCCACTAGTCCATTCGCACTGCAGGCTGACTCCCCTGTTATTAACTCCCGTGGCCACTAGTCCACTCACACAGTAGGTTGACTCTAGTGTCATTACATCTGCACCAATAATATTGTCCCCATCGTTGCTGCGTCGTTTCCTCGTCTTTATCGCAGAGATGTCTCTCGAGAGCCGTTCCGGCGGGCGCCTGCCGGGTGCGCTAAAGACAAGTGGACTAGTAGCTCGACGTGACAGCCGTACTTCGCAGATGCGTGTTGTCGAGTTGTTACCGCGTGCGTCGCCTCGGCACGATGTCTGACATTACGTGCTAGGCACGTTCAACTTGTATACTGTATTTATTTACTGATTAAGGCGTGAGATGTCATCTTCCTCGCCTGGTATGCAGGAGATCGGTGGTTCGATCCCGACTCTGACGCCTGCTGTATATTTGGAGTTTGTGTGTTCTCCCTGTGGTCGTGTGGATTTTTTCTCCGGCTCCTCCGGTTTTTCTTCCATGCGGGATAACACGTGGATACGTTCCGAAAAAAACACATCGCACCGAGTGTGCTTAGTTGGTGTAAAGTAAAAAAACCGCAAGAACCGTGCACCAAACATAAGCCGGAAAATTTCGGCTGGCTCTGGGCTGCGTAAATATCCTCCTCCACTTCCTCCATCCATCCCTTGGCCATTGTTCCGACCCGCGATAAAGCGCCCGTTTGCGGCTGAAACTGTTCAACGTGCGCGTGGGCACGCACGTTGTGTGCGTACGCGCGCGTTTGAGAGTTACGTGTGGGGGAGGAGGAGGGGGGGGAGGAGGGAAATGGGGGGGGGGGTTGCTCGGCCCCCCAGCCGCGTCACCCACCCACGAGCAGGTCGACCACGGTGCCGGGGGTCGACGCGCCCGCGGTGTCGTTCCCGTGGGCCACGCTGCACGCGTAGCGGCCGGCGTCCTCCGGCCTCGCCCGCACGATACACAGCCAGGCGTGGCCCTCCGACGCTGGCCACTGGCACGTGAAGCGGCCCAGCGGCGCCGACTTGTTGTTGTTGTTGTTGCAGGGCACCGGCTGGAGGGCAAGGAGGCGAACGTCACGCGAGATGGCAGCGTCACGGTGGCTAGGAGATGTTAACGACCTCGCCTGGTATACGGGAGGTCGTGGGTTCGATCCCGACCCTGACGCCTGCTGTATATTTGGAGTTTGCGTGTCTCTCTCCCCATGATTCAAAAGTGCGTTTAGAGTATTTGACTGCTATACATTTCCACGTGATAAAACCACTGCGCTGAGCTATCATTTGTTGCCGCTGTGGGGGGAAAAAAACCCTCAACCACAATAAAAAAGAATCGAATTCCTTGAATCGCCATGGGGCAGGCAAATTTTTTCCGCTCCCAGTAATGGCCCAGTGGTGGCTATACTCAAGTCAGGGAGTGGCATCAGCCTGACGGCTCGTCTGGTCTTCTTCTTATTCTTTCGTACGGCTGATGTAGACGCAGAGCAACGGCTACAGTTTTACATTTCCGGTTGGTCAAGACAGACAGCCGCATCAGGAGCAGCAGAGTGTGTTTCTTATTTTATTTATTTTTCTACCTACATGACTTTACCAAAAGAACCAAAGCGTATGGATCCCTGCAGTCACGAAAGCTTCAAATCAAGTTTGTTCCTTATCTCTTACCGGAACATATATATATAGCGCCTCAAACCGAGGCACTTTACAAAGAATTAACAACGGCACTACGTCTGAATGTCATGGTGGAGATGGAATGGATGAGGGGGAGCAATGGGCGGCAAATGTGCGACACGTGACATCGGTGAAAGCAAAATTGATTATAGTAAATGATGACTAATGGATTGAATGGACGGGGAATGAGTGACCGCCATATCATGATAATATGAAGAGGGAACACTAACGGTGGTTAGTGACGAGGGGGAGATTAAGGGGGTCGTGGGGTTAGCTTGGGGAAATAAGCACGTTTTGAGTGCGGAGCGTGGACACTAGCGAGCGAAGATGACCGCTTGATGTGGAGAGAGAAGTTTGTTCCAGCGAAGGGGGGGGGGGGGGGAGAAGATAGAAAGAGCAAAAGCGTGGATTGAGCACCAGCTGAAGGAGAAAACAGAGAGGAGACAGCAAAGATTGCGAATGTGGAGGGCGAGAAATTCAGTGTGTTGAACATTTGCGGCAGAGCATTGCAGACGCGTGTGACACCATTACCCCTGACACCATTTACCGTGTGCTTGTTGACGGGGGTGTCTCGTCTGGAGTTGTGTTTCAGGAACAATGCTGGACGCATCGAGCGCGTTCCGTGAATAAAAGCATTATTGCCTTTTTCGTATTATTGTTCCCATGATTCCAGACGTATGAGACACCCTGTATATCAACACACGTGTATATAAAACAGTACGCTGCAACATATGCAGCCTCCCCCGTAGCGCCTGCCGGCGATTGCGCCGTGTCGTGCAAGCGAGGCACTGCGGCAATCACGGTGATGCCATTCAGAAGCATAGCCACCTTGTGTGCTGGGATCAAACCATAAACTACAACTAAACGAGTTTTGTTTTACCAGGCAAGGCCCCACTGAGATATTAGGCGCTTTTTCAGAAGCCACCTGGCCACAAATGATAGCTCAGCGAGGTGGCTTATCACGTGGAAATGTACAGCAATTGGCAAATACTCTAAACACGTGATTATAAATGTGGAGGGAAAAACTGCGGGAGCCGGAGAAAAATCCACCCGACCGCAGAGAGAACACGCAAACTCCAATTATACAGCAGGCGTCAGGGTCGGGATCGAACCCACGACATCCTGTATATCAAGAGAGGTAGTTAACATCTCGCCATAATGGCGGATCAGAGTACAACATTCCTTGACCTCTGAAGCCTCACGGAGTCTCAGTACTCTTTTAGTAAGGGTTATGACGTTCATGTTTGGCTGGCAACTTCTGTTATTGATCACTTTACGCATCTGAGAAGAAATATTTGGACCCGGATAAAACGCACGTGCATAAGGGAGCACCCAAACCCCACTGAACGACCTTCCCAACACCTACTTGCTGTTCTGTTTCCGAGCAACAGCTGTTTCCATAGGTGGGCGCTGTCACGCGCTTGATAAATCGTGATCCACATTAAGTCACGCTGGATTACAGGAATGCGTATGGTTCTCGCACAATTGAAAATAAAGGTTCAGTTTGTGTGTCCGATATTGGCTTAGTTTCTATAAACTTTAAAAAGATGTTTTATCTTCCCAGGGAAGGCCCATTGAGCTATTTCGCTCTTTTTCAGAAGCGATCTGGCCACAACTGATAGCTAATCACGTGGAAATGTACAGCAATGCCAACTACTCTACACGCTTATGTATATATGTGGAGGGGTGAAAACCGAAGGACCCAGAGAAAAATCCACACGCTCACGGGGAGAGCTTGCAAACTCCAAATATACAGGCATCGTCAGGGTCTGGATTGTACCCACGACCTCCTGTAGACCAAGGGAGGGAGTTAACATCTTGCCACCGTGACACCTACCTGCAAGAGTACTCATTATTCTTCTTTGGTTCGTTCGGTAAAGTCACGTAGAATGAGAATAAAATAATAAATTTATAAAATAAAATAACACAATAATATTCTCACGACGTTTCGGCCACAACAGACTGTCCTCCAGACAGTCTCGTCCCTTCACCTGATGAAGGCCGCTTGTGTTGTGGCCGAAACGTCGTGAGAATATTATTCTGTTATTTTATTTTATCAATTTATTATTTTATTTTCATTCTACGTGACTTTACCGAAAGAACCAAAGAAAATGAATCCTTGCAGTCACGAAAGCTTTCAATCGAAAGTGCTCATTATTGTTTTACGATCCAACATTCTGAACGTGCCTTTCAGCATGGCTGCGCGAAGAGCGCTTCATCATGAACGGGCGCACGTGTCCGGCGGCGGGTGCCATCGCCTCTGAGATCTTGTGGGCAGTGGCGTTTCAGACGTTGGGAATTATTGATTAGTGGTGCGCTGCCGTTGGTGGCAAATGCAACCTGCAGTATCCCACGCGACTTGGACGGCTCATGCTTTCCGAGACAGAACCGCCCACCCCACCCAACCCAAATAAGATTACTCCTGCGGTATGACGCAGTGCAAGCAATCTCGAAGTTTCATAATTCCCACTCACAACGGTTGTCGTGCTTTGAAAGAATCAGAAACGAAAACTGGGAGGGGAACGTGTGTTGGTGTTGCCGCTCTGGTGTGTTCATGCAGGCAGCTGTGGCTCTAGGGTTTGGTGTTACATGTTATTTATGTAGTTTATTGTAAAAAATTCGGTAACAGTTCCTATGATCACTGTTACATTGCATTTATGGCTTTATTTTGGTGATTTCTGAAAGTTTTTTGGTTTGGACATGTTTTTGTTTATTGTAGTACAGAGTTAGACTGATGGCCTTAATCTAAGTTTTCTTGTGGTTGTTGTTGTTTGACTTGCATCCCACTGGGATTTTTGCACACAGCGTTGGTGTACGGTGCTTATTTCAGGAATATTTTGATGTTTTTTTTCTGGATTTTCTGTTTGCACAGTCACATAGTCACTTTAAGATGTTTTCTTGTTCGTGTTTTTGTTTTTTTGTTTGTTGCAGTTGCACCCGATTCAAGAGCCGAATAGCTCACAGGGCTATACCAAATAAATGAAACTATGAACTATGCTCTTGGCGGTGGGGCACATCAGTTGCGTGGCAGCAAACATAAATTATTTAAAAAAGTCCCTCGACGCCCATTTGATGGAAATGCCCGATAACGTACGGTACAGCGAGTCTGAAGCCGTTGTGACATTTTCTCGGAATTATGGCTCTGTGATGGATAAAACCTCCCCCACCCCCCCCCCCCCCCCCCCCCCCCAAAAAAAGAAATGAAAAAGCTGTTACAAATAGATGCACACCCACGTTGCATTATTAATTACGGATATTTTTTTCGAATGGACATCAATAAACAATGGGAGGAAACATTGCGGTGGAGATTAAAGTCGGGTCATGGTCAGAGTTATGGTGGAGTTGCAACATGAGTGATGGTTGTGACATGGATGGAGAATGCGGGGTTCATCTGGGGCACGGTTCGGTTCAACGCTGGATTTCGGCTCAGCGTCAGGGACATTGTTACAAGTAGGGTCAAGGTAGCAATAAAGGTTCGTTAAGGAGGTTATCTATATATGTTTTAAATGTGACACACCGCACACAGAAAATTCGATTCGGAATCAAATTAAATCCATGCAATATGTTTGTACCCGTTGGTACGTCTACTACGTGTTCACGATACACGAGTATCAATGCGCAGATTCGACGGTGCACCAGTCACGTCGGGGAAGAATTCACTCGATTCAAGCTTACGGTGCAGTACCGCAGTTCATCAAACGCAGCGGCATAGCAGCGCGACACAATTGCGTGGTCCCTGACGTGTGAGTAGCCTCGCTAACGGAGAAGCATGCGGTTACAAGCGTGCATTGGACATTGCGAGTTTCGGCAATGCTGTGCCACCGCTGCCCACAAAGTTTCTTGGTAATGCTATAACGGAAAATTTTCCCCCAACTTTTCCTCCTCCCTCCTCCTCCTCCTCCTCGCCGCTCCCGTGGCTGACGAACGTCGCGACGGGCACGGCGTCGACGCGGGGATTTGTGGGACCTCGCGCAGGGATTCGTGGGACCTCACGCAGGGATTGGTGGGACCTCACGCAGGGATTGGTGGGACCTCGCGCAGGGATTCGTGGGACCTCGCGCAGGGATTCGTGGGACCTCACGCGGAGATTCGTGGGACCTCACGCAGGAATTTGTGGGACCTCACGCAGGGATTCGTGGGACCCCGCACAGGGATTCGTGGGACCTCACGCGGGGATTGGTGGGACCTCGCGCAGGGATTCGTGGGACCTCGCGCAGGGATTCGTGGGACCTCACGCGGAGATTCGTGGGACCTCACGCAGGAATTTGTGGGACCTCACGCAGGGATTCGTGGGACCCCGCACAGGGATTCGTGGGACCTCACGCGGGGATTCGTGGGACCTCACGCAGGGATTCGTGGGACCTCACGCAGGGATTTGACTTTAACATAGCCATTTCTATGACCCGTCACAAGCTAATCACTCAGCTATTGCAATGCTAAATTATCCTGTTTGGTTTGTACTAGGTGCCTCTGTGGATGTGTAGGCTTTGACTTTAACATAGCTATTTCTATGACCAGTCACAAGCTAATCCCTCAGTTATTTCAATGCTAAATTCTCCTGTTTGATTTGTACTAGGTGCCTCTGTGGATGTGTCGGCTTTGACTTTAATATAGCCATTTCTGTGACCAGTCACAAGCTAATCACTCAGCTATTTCAATGCTAAATTCTCCTGTTCGATTTGTACTAGGTGCCTCTGTGGATGTGTAGGCTTTGACTTCAACATAGCTATTTCTATGACCAGTCATAAGCTAATCACTCAGTTTTTCAATGCTAAATTCTCCTGTTTGATTTATTCTAGGTGCCTCTGTGGATGTGTAGGCTTTGACTTTAACATATCCATTTCTGTGACCAGTCACAAGTTAATCACTCAGCTATTTCAATGCTAAATTATCCTGTTTGATTTGTACTAGGTGCCTCTGTGGATGTGTAAGCTTTGACTTTAACATTGCTATTTCTATGACCAGTCACAAGCTAATCACTCAGCTATTTCAATGCTAAATTCTCCTATTTTATATGTAAACCCCTTTGAAAAAGGTGCCTCACCTCTCTAAACCAGCTTAAAAGACGCTACAAATCTTAACAACGTTCATTGAAGCTCTGTCGTCCCGACAGGTCTGTTCCTTTCACCTGAAGAAGGCCACTTGTGTTGTGGCCGAAACGTCGTGAGAATTTTATTGTGTAATTTTATTTTATTAATTTATTATTTTATTCTCATTCTACGTGACTTTACCGAAAGAACCAAAGAAGATGAATCCTTGCAGTCACGAAAGCTTAAAATCGAAATGTATTATTGTCTTTGTTTAAATAGGCTGTTTTGTTACTCTCTTTAAGACACGTCGGGTTGTATTGTACAGAGAATATGTAGACTGCAACCAGAGGAATATGTGGATGTAATAATGAGCTGTCGATAGCGTTCTTTCCCTAACCCCAACCATGTCCTTGATTTCTCATGAGGAAAATATTACCTTGAATTTTACGCGACTTTGAGTCACACGCCGTTTTCGACATACTGGTCGGCGGTGGCGAGATGTTAACTACCTCGCCTAGTATACGGGAGTTTGTAGGTTCGATTCCGACCCTGACGCCTGCTGTATATTTGGAGTTTGCGTGTCTCTCTCACTGTGGTCGCGTGGATTTTTCTCCGGGTCCTCCGATTGTCCCCTCCACATTTATAATCAACATCACGCGTTTAGAGTATTTGGTTGCTGTACATTTCCACATGTTAAGCCACGTCGTTGAGCTATCATTTGTGGCCAGGTCGCTTCTGAAAAAGAGCTCTATATAAATATACATACACTATCCTGGCAAGAGCTGTAAAAAAATCGTTAAGTGCACACACTATATCCGGATAATGTCTTGAACTAAATCCAGCCTTTTCTACGACAACAATTATGGAACTCCTTGCACTGCTTACACTGGAATTGATAATTGCTCGTGCATGTCAGTAGGCGAGTGCCTTCTGTCGTTTTAACCAACACCTATAGCGGCACTGTCCCTCCAGAGAATCCACAGTCGCCAATGTAAACGAGCCGCAAGGCCCGCGTCAGTGTAACAACTCACAATGTCCGCGTCCCGTTGAATGTGCCACTTGACCTCTGACTCGTCGGTGATCACACTGGGGTCATATCGACAGTTGAGGATGGCCGTCTCCCCTTCCGACACCTTCACCTGCCCTGGCGGGTCAGGGCTGTCCTGTGCTCGTGTCACTGTGAGAACAGAGACAACACACACACACACCAACAACAATGCCACCCTGCATTCAACAACACTGGCGTGGAAGGTGGCAGCAGCCATCGTCACGTGGCCCACCGCTGCGTGACACCTCGCCGATCTCATCAAGGAGCATAAACCACCGCCAGTCGAGCCCCGGTCATCATCCTCGTAGCGGCGGCGGCTTTCGGCTGGCCGTCGAACAAAGACGAAAGATGGGTCGTGGTAAGAGTCAGGATGGCGTTGTGACATGAGTTATGGTTATGCCATGGATGGAGAGAATACGGTCATATCTGGGGCATGGTTAAGTTCAACACTGGAATTTGGCTTACCTCCAGGGGGGCGCTGTTACAACCCGGGTTAAGGTTGCAATTGAGGCATCGCGCGCTTTCAGATGCGCTTCTGCGGCCATCTGGAACGCTCTTCCTTCCGATGTTAGGAAGCGACTTGAGCTATGCACTTTTAGATATAGATTGAAAACGCATTTCTTTAGAACTGCTTTTTGTGTTTAGTTTGTTGTCCTTCCCCCGCACCCCGATTAGCACGGTTGGCTATGTACGGTGCGAAAGAAGTTCAACATGCACACGTACAGTACTGCGCTTTTACATGCAAAAATATGCATAACAAGGCAATAATGCAAAAAACAATCATTGCCATAGCTCAGAAGAGAGCCGAGGGTAATGGGTTCAAATTCGGTGTCTGAGGCAGGGATTAAACGTCGTGTGTCGTCCGCGATTCAAGCCGAGCCGCATCGTGGCTGGTCCCATCCAGTGCCGGATTAATGATCCTAGTCGCAAAAGTAGCTACATATGAAGTAGCTACACGTGTAGGAGCTACGGGCCCCGCACTTTCAAGGGCCCCGCGCTAAATGCTTTCAAGCTATCAATTCCGGTGCAGTGATTCTGCACTTGCTCTATTACTATAGTACTATACCGCCTTCAACTTTCATGAACGACTGGGTGTTTAAGGTTAGCGATTTGTCGTATTATCTGGCTGTTTAGCAAATGAAAAGAATACAATCACTTGACCATGCAAGTGAATAAGATGTGTTTTAATATTTACGTGTTTATATTTAGGGCCCTTTACAGCATATGCTAGAGGCGCCGCACTAACCTCAAATGGCACTGGCCCCATCCACCACCAATCTCCAACCAACCAGAGGGGCCGCGCGGCACGCGTCACGTGCCACGTGACGCGGACACGGCTCACGTGGCGCGTGCCCGGGCGCGCGCCACTCCGTTAACTGCCAGGACGCGTCTCCCCCACGAGAGTGGATGTTGGTGAGAGCCAAATGTTACTTGCAACAAAAAACCTGTCCGAGGTAACGTGCGTCTCAACGTAATTCATTAGGAGGGATGAGAAACGTTTACTTTGATATATGTAGATGGGGGGAGGGGGATGGACAAAAACCCCTCCATATAAACACAAGTTTTCACTAAATCACTCAAATAAATAGCACGTGAAGATAACGCGACTTCTTTGTAAAGGGAAATGTGATTCAATTTAACAAGTGGGGAATGCTGTATACTGCAGAATTTAACGTTTGGCCAAATACTCGACGAGGAAACAACGCGAGAAACGTTCAAACGAACGTGTTATATACGTTGATCTTGAGTCATTCTATTTTGGCTGGGAACATTACTTGGTGCGAGAATTACGTGGCATCAGTAATTTGAACGATGCGATTCAATGGAAATATTTAACAGGTCTTTATTTGGTAAAAATTACAACGGATAGAGCTGTATGGAAGGAATGTCATGATTGTTCGTGTCTTTGAGAAAGGGCACGGCTCACACAATACATTCAGTCGACCCCTTTGCGATGAAAGTGCAGAAAAATAGTCATAGCTGTCAACCCCTTATCAGTGCCCTACCTTATTACAGACCAATTCAGACCTCATTGGTCACCCCGTGCCATTATAAATCTCAAGTTCCATCCGACAAAGTCCCACTACAAGGGAGAAACACAAACAAAAAGACAAATACATATTTTTTGCCCGTATTGAAACGGCTGTACGCCGTATGGACCTGAAAACTCAATTACCCTGTACAAGAATACGGGGTAAACCGTATGGGTTGACAGCTATTTAGAGTTAACCAACCGCGCGGATTAATTGAATACCGCATTTTTTTTTACAATGATTCAAACGGATAAGGTACCGTTTTGAATATTAAGATTTTGTTTAACTCACCGTAGATCAACGACAGGGCCAGTGCGATGGCAGCGAAGAGGCGTTGCGCCGACATTCTTCCTCGAGATGAAAGACGACGTTCACGAGACGCGGGGACCCTAGGACGGCTGGAGTTTTAAAAAGACGCGCAAGAGAGAGTGTGTGTGTGGCTCCCGTGCAATGCCACTTGCCAGGAGCGTGTGTGTGCGCGCGCGTGCCAGGCGAGAGGGAAATGGGCGTTTTAAGGGGAAGGGAAACTTGAGGAAGCGAGAGAGAGAGAGCGAGCTACCGTGTGTGTCATCACTTGAGGTTCGACCACACAAGTGAGTTAACGGGTGACCGCTATTTTTAAACGCGTGTAACGCCCATTGGGGTTTCTGCTGAGGCATAACGCTTGCAAGAGAGTGCCCGAGATAACGAGAGAGAGAGAGAGAGCGAGACTCCTATTTTCCTGTCACCATTGTTAAGTTGGCAGAACATGTGAACGCGTGCGCGCAAGCTTCTCGAGACCGATTGTTATTGTCGTTGTCATGATTCACAATTGTTTTGTTGTTGTTGTTGGGGGTCACATCGGCCACGTTGAGTACATCGCTGATGTGTGTCGTACGCGACCGAATGTATTAAGGTTGTCACGCGCTTGAGAGAAATCCACACTTTTAACAATTAGGTCGATTCATGAAGGATGGCGGACAGTGGTTACACGTTTTCAATTTGGATGCAATAATAGCCCCGCTGTGCTGTGTGGACACGACAGCGCAGCTCCACGTCTATGGAACGCGGTGCCTCCTGACAATGAGAATCTTTATAGATATTTAAATCTGCCCTGAAAAGTCTCGTCTTTAAAATGTCTCTTTTCCCCATAGTTTTGGGTCGTTTAGGCTTCTGGCTCTGTCTCATTTCCCTGCTTCCGTACACGGAGGCGCATTTGGCATTCTTGGATTAAATGCGCCTTACAAATCTAAAATCATCATTATTATGATGACTTTACAATGTAGCAAACGCGAACCGTTGAAGGGATATCATCGTGATCACAGCGCAGTGCATTACTCAGCACGGCGCCATGCCCAACGTGAACCGCCGTTTCCCTCCATCCGTTGGTGATTCATCGCACGCAGAGGGCTACCATACATGGGGCTGCCAGTCATGGGCACATTTCTCAGACCCCAAATTATGCAATTTGTGTCCAGGAGAAGCAGTGGTGTGAGCACACTGCAGCTGTGGACCTGGTTACGACCAGAATGTCAACTAGCTCGTCGAGGGTTCGATCCCGACCCTGACGCCTGTTGTGTATAGGGTGTTTCAAAAAAATGTGAACACTTCCGAGAGTTTGAAACACGAGAAATGTGCCGCCTCCGGTGCTCTGGAAACCACCTGGAGAAGATTCCAGTTGCGTGTTGGCAATAATGGCGAACCAGTGGAGACTCCTTGGCTTTTTGAAGCTGTTAACCTACATTTGTTATCGTGTTACAGTGTATTATCTGTTCTGCTTCCATTAAAACGATTGTCCCATGTAAGTGTTAACATTCTTTTGAAGCACACTATATTTGGAGTTTTCATGCCTCTCTCTCTCCCCGTGGTCGCGTGAATTTTTTCTTCCGAGCCCTCCGGTTTTTCCCCTCCACATTTAGAAACGTGCCTTTAGGAGTATTTGACTGCCCATACATTTCCGCGCGAGACGCCATTGAGTCGAGCTACCGTTTGTGATGGCCTGGTCACTTCTGGAAAAATATCTACGTAGCTCAGTGCGGCCTTACCTGGTAAAATAATAAGTTGAGTTTAGTAACATCAGTGGTGAGTGATATCTCATAACTACAGGTCTTGGGGCCCTTCTATAAACCCGCACATTGACCATCATGGTGAAGTATGGTCAAACAACCCCCATGAATTACACAGTGTGGAAGAGTGGGGGAGGGGGGGGGTCTCCCTCAAACAATGGGCTTACAGAGACTTTAAATTATAATTATATACTTCATACTTCTCAAACATTAGCACGTGAAGGCATTCAGATATTTCATGATGAAAAAGTACATTTTTACAACGTCCCAGTTTAAAAAAAAAGACTTGAACTTTCTTTCTGCACGTTTTCCGACGAAAGGGACGGTGTCGGCTTCCAACAAGAGACACACTACCCGACGTTACAGGTCGGTAGGCACGTGTCCTTATTCACAGGGCCTCTTATTGGCATTCTGCTGGGTTGGGCGTCTGCACATTGTTTAACGGTGACGTCAAGGTCACAAGGTTATCATAACCGACGCCACTGAGAGCGCCACACCCGTCACACACACTTCCCTCTTCAGGATCAGGGTTGGGGAACCAACCGCTCCCTCGCCCCAAGAGAACAATCCGATAAATTCGGCGGCTAACTCCATGTGCCACACCTCAGCGTTATCCATAAAAGGCCGTACATGTTGTCGCGCGGGAGCTCGCATTTACCACAGCGACAGAATCGAAATATTGTACGGAGTTGCCGGCTAGAAAATATATACTGTACAACGCGGATTCGAATTGGATATAACACGATCGAGTGAACGGGACTGCGTCACGCGAGTAGGAATAAGCGGTCGTGCGGCCGCCTCCGCTTCGCATCATCACACGAGGCATTGGGATGCCTCTTGATGCTTCTAGATGCTACTCACGTGCCTCAGTCTTTGTTCGGCCTGCGGCACGCATCTCACTGCGCTTTACCCCTATACTATATATTATTACGCGATATTTCCATAACACGGTGCTCTTTCCGGGACGCAGCTACCACGATATAGAAGAGGCTGTACATACACACAAAGGCCCTCCACCCCTGCGCCAAATTCTGTAGTTGTGCTTGACAGTGGATACCTCCCGATCTCCCAAGGTTCCAACGCTTATAATATTACACCATCTGCCTTCGACTCTTCCGTTATATTGTTGACCTCTGTATGCCACTGTCAGAAAGCCGCACTCCATCATCCTGCGCACCGAACCCCACCCGTCAAAGCCTCCTTCCTGCCTCTTCCTGATTGAGTCTACGTTGAGAGCGCTTTCCTGCCACCCGCCCCTCGTCGAACTTCCAAGGCCCAAATGCTGTCATGGAATTCCCGGCACCCTTCCGCATACTTTATATTTAATAGCCAGAAGATTATTTTCCATATATGTACTCGAAACGTTGTATTCATTGAAATACAGTTCTTGCGTTAACTCACTACGTCTGACCATTGCCCTTCCTCCTCTCTCCTGCACTTTATATTCTTCCAGATTTATTTTGTATTCGTATTTAGTCTTTAAGAAAAACTCATCGTGCTAAATACAATGTGAACTCTTTAGCGTCTCACAATCCTCTGTATTATGCACATTTTCAACATCCTTCACATCCTCCACACGTCTAACTGACTGTCTAGGCAGCAGTGAGTGTCCCATTTAAAATCTACTATTAATACATTTGTATGCATTTGTTTTGCTTTGAGTGGGCCCATAGCTCACGTGCATGGATCCTGCCAATAACATCTAGCACCCATAAAGAACAGCATTTGGTTTAAGAGTCTTGACTCTGCTGACGAGCTGGCCTGCTGAAACGCATTGTGCTCTGAGACATTAGTCCGGAAGGCTCGTTGGCTGTTGAAGTGTACATGGATGTTCGGATGTTTCAGACAAAGCTCAGCAATAGTGCATGCTTAGTGAGTTTCCGTTGTAGCACGAGCAACTGTTGTATACCCATGGCGCAGCGTGGGAGGGCAATCGAGGTGATGATGTAATGAATGGGAAAAAACACACACACACACATACAAAATCACGAGAAAAATGGAAGGGAGAAGACAAAGGAACGGAGAAAAACGCTCGCAAAGGGACAGTAGAGATGAGGAGAGGGAGGAGGAAAAGGCGACGTTAGGACGTCGGCGCTGCTGCATGGAGCGGCGTCTGTTTTCACAGGGGGCGTGGGGAGAAGCGGGTGGGGCAGGGGGGGGGGGGTCATAGTGGGGGTGGCCACAAATAAGTCACGTGATTCACGGTAAGCTTAAGCTGATTTACATCGATACAGCTGAAAGGTGTTGAATTTAAACTTGGCTTGAGCGATGCTCGAGTGGATGGGAAGTGGATGGACTTGAGGCGGGCTCATTGCCAGTAACGAGTCTGTGACGGCTCTGTAAGAAGCGTGGCCTTGTTTACGGGGGGAGCAACCAAGGAGAATTAAAAAAAAACGTCAAATGAGAAAAGCTCCTTAAAAACAAAAAAATCGGCTTTACCCTCAGGCAGCATGCCCCCAAACGTGGCAGGTGAAACGTCGCGAAGGAGAAAGAGGAGCAAAAAGCCCTCGCCACCACAGCTGTTCCCGAACGAGCAGCTTGGAGGGCATTCCTCACACGTACATCGAGTCGTCATCGTCTGCATCAAAAAAACAAAACAAACGAAAAAAATAGCAAATGCCAAAACGCAAAGCGGAATAAGTAAAGGGGTACAAATGTATCGTCGGTCGTGCATTCCACTGTAGCTCTCGCCAGCCACGAAGGGTATGTGAGGAAAGGCTGCTCCGACAACGTTTCTAGGTTTTTTTTCCTCCATCCATCACATCCCACATCTTTCTGCCCTCCCATGCTGCTCCATGGGTATACGACAGTTGCTCGTGCTGCGACAGAAACTCATGAAGCAAGCACTATTGATGAGCTTTGTGGGAAATATCCAAACGTCCATGTCTACTTAATTGATTATTTTCTCCTTCAACAGCCAATTGAGTCAAGTGGACTCATGCCTCAGAGCACGATGTGCGTTACAGCAGGCCAGCTCATCAGCGGAGTCGAGCTTCTTAAACCAATTTTTTTTGGTTTCCTGTTGAGAGTACAAAAGAGTGGCTCCCGTCCTTAGCTGCAGCATCGCCCTTGAGGTGTTGCCTGATGCCGTCTGAGATCTCACGAGCAGCAGTCAACAACTCACCACGGAGTCGCGGAAGAGCGACGGAGCAAGAGAGACGAACACGGAGGCAGAGGAAGCAAGAGGCAGGGCTACCGACGCCAAAACCCAGAGGACAGGGCAGCTACAAAGGCAAAGAAACCTCCGTATAGCCTGACCAGACTGTTGGGGCAAGTGCTGTTAGCGAGCACCCGTGAAGGCCCGCACGGCATAAGAGGCGGTGGGTGGCCCAGCACCACGCCCGACCGCCTTTGTCGACCTACGGAAGGCCCATGACGGGTTAAAATATTCGACGCTGATTTTATTCATGAGCGGGAATCGAACTCGGGAGGCCGATTTCGTGGCGCAGTGCCCTAACCACGGCGCCACCGCTCCAGGGCAGCTACAACACGCGTGCCACCTGCTGCGCGTGGCGCTGCACGGCAGCCACGCATCTCGAGACCCGGAGAGCACGTGGCGATGGGATTCTCTTGGCGAGGGTTCTTGTTTCCGCGGCTCAATCTGAGTGAGGAAGTCACCAGCCGCCCCACTGTGTACACACCGCGCAGTGCACGCGGTGCGCGATGGTCCGCAGACAATGAAACTGACGACTCACGTGGGATCGTCGGGAGTAGTTGGGAACGTTTGCTAACTCCTCGCTCTAGGAGTCGCGGTGGTGCACGAGACTGCAGCGGATTGCTCCGTCATGCCGCCTGCTCTCTTCTGGCTAAGGGCGGCATCCGGTTATCCGTGGATGTATAATTACATGTGCTTTTTTTTGTTAACAAAAACTTCCTCGGGATAATGCTGTGACTGTCAAGAAAATGCATGGATGATTTTGTTTTACTTTGTAAAGCTCGGGAGCCGGAGCCAGGTAAAAGTATCTGGAGGTGGAGCAGCGGCTGAAGCCAACGTGGAGCTGGGAGTCTTCCTCAGCTATCAGAGGCAGCCCGGAGCCAGCGGAGCCAGAACCAGAAAACTCCGGGACACTGCCAACCCGACTCGAAACTGCAGAGAGCTGCAATGACCCAGCCAAGGCAGCTGGGACGCGAAGAGGCCTCCGTTTCGACGCAAAGGTCATCCACAGCCCAGTCCAACCGAGCACGTCTCTCTCTCAGCCAGCGCTTAGACTCAGAATCACCCCTCCGCGACTGAACTCGCCGCACACTCACAGCACGGGAGAGTAATTGCAGTGGACAAGTGGATTGTGTTAATCCCCTGGTTTTTTTTTTAGCCGAAAGTAAATACTTCCCAAGGCATATCACGTGATATTTGGGCACAAATCGGCTTAGTGAGATGAAGAGAAATGTGTGGTTACGAAATTAGGAATTTGTTTACCAGTCAAGGTCATGAGTGGGTGTTTGGAGAGCAATATATCGTGGCTATATGTAAGTGTGTTTTAAACCTCATGCAAATCAAGGACGAACATTTAAGGAAATGCATGCATTCTATCACGCTTTCCGACAAGCCCTTGTGATTTGAATGAATGCATATTATGTACGCGTGTTGAACTTCTTTCGCACAGTACATAGCCAACGTGGTAATCGGAAGTGCGGGGGAAGGACAACAAACTAAACACAAAACGCAGTTCTAATTAAATGAGTTTTCATTCTAGATTTAAAAGTGCACAGCTTCAGTGGCTCCATTATTTCGGAATGAAGAGCGTTCCAGACGGCCGCAACAAAGTGCAGCTGAAAGCGGTGACCGTCTTTGTTCGATGATTAGCCAAAATCTACTGCGAGGATGACCGGAGTTCACGTGATGGTTCATTTGTGGTAAAGCACTTTGTGTGTAATGAGCACGACCTTATAAGATGTAAAAGTCCATAGCTCCAAGCGGCTTCCCAATATCTGAATAAAAAAGTGCGCTAAAGAAATGGAAAGCATCACGGCCACGGTGTTGAGAATAGCAGCAATGTGGGGAATTGTAAATGTTGTGTGTTTACTCTCCAACACATCGGCGGGCTGAAGTAGTCACTCCTTGGCGCGTTTTGTTTACGTGACAAACATTACTGGCTGTGTCGGGTGGTGGAGGGTTACGACACAACATTTACACTTACGCGATCTAACCCAAACACCATTCGTATGAATAATATTGGTCGCGAAAGCCTCCTGCTCGTGAAATATTCCAGATGTGTCCCTTCTTATCTCCCAAGATGTACGCGTTTGTCGATTGCCACTCCCCGGCCTCCGTGATGTCTGCTAGACGAGGCCCTCCTCCTTGGCATCGCCACGCTTTGTCCATGAGTGCCTCGAGCCCGCGGTGCCATGGTGGTGCAGGGCCGTTCCCTGCCGCGATGACTCGAGCCTTTATCTGCCCGCGAACGACCATGAAAGAAGGGGTTGTCATCTCGGTTAACCTCACAACTCGGATGATAACAGCAGCAGCGGCACAATTAAATCTGTTATTTGTGTGAGAGAGATTTTTGTTTTTAGACAACGGACGCGATAATTGAGCGCATCTTTTGTACATCATATATATGGTTTAGTTAATTGCATTTGTATTTATTTAACTAAGCTAAAAGCGTATTTTGCGTGTATAAAGGGGCTATTAAATGTCTTTAAGAAGAGAATTCCGGAACGCGGGGCTTCCAGAACATTCTAAAAACGAATGCGATTCTGCAACAATCAATCCCGTCTGGAATTGTCGCCAGGCACCGCCCTCACCAACATCCAAGCAGAGGCTGGGGGGTTAATGCGAGGGAGAGAGGAGAGGCAGAGAGATGGGGGGGGGGGAGAGGAGAGCAAACGAGAGCGGGTAAGAGTGGAGGTGGGAGATGTGGGGGTGGGGGGTGGAGATAATGCAAAAATTCACGTGGGGGAGAGTGGAGAGAGAATGAACGAGGGGAACGTGGGGAAGGGGAGAGAAAGACGAAAAAGGCATTACGGGTGAGGTGAGATGAGATAGGAGGGTGGAGGGAACGGGGAGAGTTAATGGAGAGAGCAGAGCAGACAGAGAGGAGGAAGTAGAGAGGGAAAGAGCAGAAAGAGAGAGGAGAGACGCGCGGCGGAGGGAGAGAGGAGGAGGAGGCAGAGCTCGCCAGCAGAGAGATAGAAGAGAGAGAGAGAGCAGAAGGAGGGAGAGGCGTGAGGGTTGTCGTAGAGAGGCAAGGAGAGCGGACAGAGAGAGGGAGAGTGTAGAAGGAGGAGGGGAGGGGGCAAGTAGAGATCGAGAAGGGAGTGAAGAGCAATCAGGAGAGGCGAGGGCAGGCCGGGAGGGAGAGAGAAGAGCGAGGTAGCGGAGAGGGAGGGGAACAGAGAGAGGGAAAGGAGCGGAGACTGCAAGCAGGCAGTGAGAGCGGCGAGAGAGAGAGGGAGAGAGAGAGAGAGGGAGAGAGAGAGGGAGAGAGATCACAGCGCGGCGAGACGGAGTGAGCAGACAAACGGAGGTAGCAGAGAGCGCGAGAGAAGGAAGGAGAGAGCCCGGACGGACGAGCGTCTCGCTCCACACGCTTCGCCTCTGCCCCCCCCTCCTCCTGCCTGTCACGGTTGTAGCCCGCGCCTCCGTCATGGACATCGACATCCAGCACCCGTGGCTTCGTCACCCGTTCGGCTCGCCGCTCTTCTTCCCGGCGCGCGTCTTCGACCAGCACTTCGGCGAGGGCCTGCTGCCCAGGGACGCGTGCGCTCTGCCCGGCACCCTGGGCTCCATCTTCTCGCCGCTCTACTGGCGCGAACCGGGCTGGCCGGCTACCCGGAGCGATGTGAGTTGCGTAGAGGGGGCGGGGGGGGGCACGCCGCGACAGAGCTGCAGGGGGAGGCGGCGGTCATAGGGAGGCCGGGCAAGAAGCTGGTGCCTGGGAGAGCCGGTGGCGGGCGGGGGGTTGCGGATGAGTACGGCGGCTATCCGCCGGGAAGGGAGATTGCAGTGGGGAGGGAGATTGCAGAGCAACGGCTGCGACACTGCGCGATGGGGCAGGCATTGCAGCAGCAGCAGCAGCACCTGTGGCAGAATACAGCAGGAGGGCACAACCGTAGTTGTGCTTGCTGCTGCTGGTGGTGGTGGAGGAGTTGGTGCGGGCGCTGTCCCTGGTCCTGAACTCAATCACTGGGATTCAGCTGTACTGTACGCCCTGAATCACTGATATACTTGGCAGCTGCTGCGAGCGCTGCTGCCAGCCTGTGTCAGCCTGTGTCTTGCCAGAGGCGTCGACCGATGCATGGATGTATGTTGTACTTCTTTCGCACCGTACGTAACCAACCGTCTTAATCGAAGGTGCGGGGGCGTCGTCACAGCCATAGCAGATATTCCGTGCACAGAGGAGGAAATGGGACGGTTTTAAGGAACTGGTTGAATGAAACGCATACGGAGGAATGTTCTACCCGTGATTTAAAGCTGGTGCAGATTACAAGGCTAATGCATTTTTCCATTCACAACTGAACTGAAGATGTATCGATGCAGCCGAATTGAAGATTCATTATTTATGTTGCTAATGAGTGCACGAGAGGGGCGGATTTATTATCATTGTTGCCCGGGTTGACATCAATGCGGCGGCTAACAGAGCCGTAGCATGCCGGCCAATGGATGGAATATGAAACGGTTCCAGAGAGAAATCGCTCACACATGGGGCGTTGCCACAGCCAGAGCCATAGCAAATACCTCATGCACAGAGGAGGAGATGGGATTTATGTCGTGATCTGGTTGAATAAAAACGCATGAGGAGGAATGGTGTACGCGTTATTTAAAAGAGGAACAGATCACAGGGTTAAAAAGGAATTATCCGTTCGCAGCTACCAGGACTTAAAAATAAATAAATATATTTAACCCACGACAACAAAATAAAAACGAACGATAAAATAACGGCAGCATTAAATATTGAATTGCGAGCAATGGTGCGACGAGCATTTGGTGTGGATGGTGCAAAAGCCCGTGCATTACAACGCATTGCGTGTGGGCAACCCACGGACAACGTCGCGTAGCCGCGATGGCGCTGCGCGGGACGAGGCTGAAGACCCCCACGTTGACCGTAACCGGGGCCCAGGGCGCCACGTTGTTTTTGGGAGAAAATTGGATTGGTAGAAAGAGATAAGGGGTTGTTTTTTTGTCTTAATTAAAAGGAGACATGATGGTTCAATGAGCCACTCTGTCTACAGGAAAGCTACCCATACAGATGCTTACTTGAAACCGGATTCTCACCACCATCCATCCCAGAAGAACTCCCTCATCAAGACTCTATACCATAGAGCCCAATGCATTTCCGACCAGGAACACATTACCAGTGAACTCAAGCACGTACACCAGGCTCTCAGGGCTAATGGTTACTCCGACTACACAATCCGCAAAGCCATCACTCCAGTCATGAAGAAGGATCCTCTTGTGGAGCCACTCAAAACCATCACCTTACCCTACATTGCAGGGGTCACTAAAAAGATCTCCAAAATCCTGAATAAACACAAGATCCAGGTCCGATTCAACACAGTACATAAAATCCGTGATCTATTTCCATCTGTAAAAGATGCTGTTCCAGACATACAGTACCCGGGCATTTACAAACTAAAGTGCCTCTGTGGTAGTAGCTACATTGGAGAAACCAAACGACATATCTCGGACCGCATCCGCGAACATAAAGCAGACTTGAAACACGGTAGAACGAACTCCTCTGCCGTGGCAGATCACTGTTATAATTCAGTGGGCTCACATGACATTGACTTCTCCAAGGCGGAGGTTCTTTGCAAACCAACCGGCTGCCATGAGAGATTCGTTCATGAGGCCATTCACATATACAAGCACAGAGACAATTTCAACCGAGAAGATGGATTCTGGCTTAGTAACCATTGGAAAGATGTTTTAAACCATTTCCGTTCTTAATTAATTGTATTTTACGATGACCTTCAGACCGCAGCTCTTTCGCTGGCATTGACTCTTAATACATCTCACACCACGGTTAATGGTATGGTTTACAACATGGAGTATAACAGCGCCTCGCAGCTGTCTCTCTCCCCCTCCTCTGTTCCGACCATGGATGAACTCGTCCGTCTGAACGGGACCCGTAGCTATCCGTGTTGCTAAAGTTGATGGTAAGAATCCACCCATTTTTTCGCCATATAGCATTGTGATATATAACGACTTATTGTTGGTAGCTTAGCTGATTGGAGAATATAGAGTTTATTGATAACATTGAGGTAATTTATATTTTAGTTTTTTATTGGTTCACTATGTAGTATTCATTATATATTGTATTGTATACCCAGTTACTGTGAATAGCTCAGATGTGTAGGCCTTGACTTCAACATAGCCATTTCTGTGACCAGTCACAATAATCACTCAGTTATTTCAATGCTAAATTCGCCTAGTTATTTCAATGCTAAATTCTCCTGTTTGATTTGTACTAGGTGCCTCGGTGAATGTATATGCTCTGACTTTAACATAGCTATTTCTGTGACCAGTTACAAGCTAATCACTCAGCTATTTCAATGCTAAAGTCTATGCTAATTCCTTTGTCAAGGCGTGCCTCTGCGGATGTGTATACTTTAACTTAGCTATTTCAATGCTAAATTCTATGCTAATTCCTTTGTCAAGGGGTGCCTTTGCGGATGTGTATGCTTTAACTTTAACATAGCCATTTCTGTGACCAGTCACAAGCTAATCACTCAGCCATTTCAATGCTAAATTCTATGCTAATTCCTTTGTCAAGGCGTTTTGTTTCTTCTCACACAGCTTAAAGGTCGCGATCTGAGCGTGGCTTTTTCACTCCAGCGCTGTCCTCCAGACAGTCTCGTCCCTTCACCTGATGAAGGCCGCTTGTGTTGTGGCCGAAACGTCGTGAGAATATTATTGTGTTATTTTATTTTATCAATTTATTATTTTATTCTCATTCTACGTGACTTTACCGAAAGAACCAAAGAGGTTGAATCCTTGCAGTCACGAAAGCTTTAAATCGAAAGATAAGAGGTTGTGTTTATGTGCACGCAAATGCTAAACAGGAATAAGCAAGCGCTACAATGAGTCCCCGGTGGTGGTGGTGTTCGGAATAGGGACGAGCTAAGCAGGGAGGGCCAGGTGACTCGTGGCTGGCTGGCGAACTCACCGGTTCGGGTTCGGGCCACGGTTGTGGCCACTGGGAGGGTGAGCGTCGGGTCTCCACGGCAGGCGCCTTGGATTGGCTGTGGAGGCGTCGCGGTGGACCTGGCAAAGGCGACAAATGGAGACCATTAGAAATTACTTAATTGGAGTAGACAGTATATGTATACGCTGTTAATGCAGGATCACTTAATTATGTATCCAACGGAACTGGTATCTGCCAAACATCCCCCTGCAAAAGACTCAATCGTGATTACACAGAGCGGCAACATCGCCACCCAACTGAGAAAAAAACGTGACAGGACCCTCCCGCGTGAAAAAAGAGTATTGTGACTCGGTGGAACGTTTCTGGGCCAACAAGCGATGAGAATAATATTGATGATGATAGTGAGATGGTGGATCACGCAGAGTGGGAGGGGGGGTCTACGTGAGAGATTCACCTGGATAGGAGACATGGCCCAAATCGAGTGATACCCGACACTGCAGGAAGATGAAGTCAGTGCAGGAGATGTGCGTGGTTGTCCTTAGATTCCTGATTTTGCGAGGAACAACACTTTTTTCCCACTCCCTATAAGATTTGTATTTTAATTATTGAGCGCCTTGTCCAAAAGAAGGGTCTGGCTTTGGTTAATGAAGTCATTCAGCATTTTGGCACAGACATTCTTGACAACAACAGCCGCCATTCGCCACCTAGTGGGGTTGATGTCATCACAGCACTTGTGGCAGTCTATGTGCGTTCCTGAACCACTACTACCACAACCACAACTGCCATCACGACCACTATCACCACCAACAACCGCTCTCACCACCACAAACACCACCACAGCCATCGCCATCTGACCCACGGCTTCAAACATCACCGTTGCCACCCAACAAAATGTGCCACGCCTAACCGAAGCCGATGTAATAGATTCGGCGACAGCAGTTTCAGATAAGCCATCGGCGATGTGTTATCCACTCTCCCAACCCGAAATTTCCCACGCACCTCCGATCAGCGCGGTTGGCTACGTGCGGTGCGAAAGAAGTTCACCATACATACAGAGATAACAGACATATTAAGGCGAATTGAAAGACAGAAATTTTGGGAAACATTTAAATGACTACGAGAGTGAATATAAGTTTTTGATATTTTGAACATTTATTTATACTGGTAGAATTTGATTAGCGATAAAGAAGTCCAGTAGGGGCGGGTAAGAGCGTTACAACAACAAACAGTAAAATAAACACGATAGGAGTGTAAATAACAAGAAAGGTAAACAAGTCACACAAACGCACACAAACAAACACAATAAACCATCCCCATCCTACCAGGCAAAGCCCCACTGAGGCATTAACTTATTTTTCAAAAGCGACCTGGCCACAAATGATAGCTCAACAAAGTGGCCACATCATTTAGACATTTATAGCCAGAAAAACAATCCAAGTAATCTAAATAAATGAATAAATCGTGGATATATGTCCAGGGAGCTGAGTCAGCGGTGGAACAGCCACTGATGGGTTGCAGAGCGATGTGCGATTTGTTTGTTGGTTACCCTTACACATCTCCAAAAGCAACACTTTGTTCCGTCTTGGTATTTTACATGTAAGGCACGCTAGCTCCGACGTTTAACCGGGCTGGGTTGGTGTTGAATCTTCTTTTAATATCACTGATTGGCACGCTTGACTACGTACGGTGCGAAAGACGTTCAATATACTTGCATGCATTGGCCGACACCCCTGGTAGACACAGGCTGACACGGGCTGGCACCAGCGCCTACAGCTGCAAGACGTATAGATTTTATAGAAGGCGTACAGCTGAATCAGCTGATAGACGTTCAGCATGCACACGCACGTACTGTGGGTGAAGTATATGTATATAGGGTACTTGGAATGTTTTGGTGGGATGATCGCTTGTCGTTACAAGAAATAGATTTTAATAATTCACGACAATGCTCCAGTGACAATGTCACTCAAGCAATAGCGGTGCACGGTGCGCAGTGCACTATTGACGCGTGCGTGGAAGTCAATGTTACTGGATAGTTATAGAGGCTGGCAGATAGGCATGCAACGATTCCCTCGATTTATATATTTTAAATGGATTCTTACGCTCAGCATGCACGTATACAATTCTGTTGACAGACGTTTCTCCTTTAATTTATTTCTGGCTTATACAAAGTTTACGTAAATATTTTAACTTGCCTAATGGTTGGAACAAACAAAAAGGTTGCAATCAAAACAATTGTTTTCAAAACAGCACAACAGAGACAACGCACACTGGACAGGCAATGCTGGCAGCGCTCAAGAGCGAGCAATACGAGCAGTAACAACGTAGACATTACAGGCTTTATAAACTAAGACGCAGTACAAATGAGACAGTCGGCACGAAGACATGCGGTGCAGACGAGGTATCAGTCAGTGAAGGTGACGACGACGACAATTCTCAAATCCAATCGTCATGGAGATGTCGACGATGCACGGAATCACGCGTGGGCGAGTGGATCGGGGGTGGGGGGGGTGATCTTGACTCGGCGCTCCGGATTCACAGCCTCTCGCTCACGCCGCCCTCTGTGTGGTGACCTCTAACCTCGCCAGGTGCCTGCGTCTGGGGGGGCCGATGGGAGCAAAGACAACCCCGAGGCTCGCCTGAGGAGCGGCCTCTCTGAGGTGAACACAACAAAAATCACCACCCCGTCCCCTCCCTTCCCCGCCCACCGTTCCACGTGAACCGAAATCCACGCGTTCGCCGAAGTCCTTTCGCCGAGCGGACATTTATTTTAAATGATTATGAACGACGAGGTGACCGGATGACCGACGAGATCGGAAGAGCAGCGAGCCAGCGCCACCGAGGTGACGGGAGACGTTTGAGGACGTTGCCGTTGTTTCAAATGTGTCGATGATTCGAGTGTGGCGAGTTGGTGGTGGCCTCTGTTCGATGGCATGAGCCTGCAGCAACACAAGCGGAATGATTACGCGTTGCCTTCTTGCGGGCAATATTATGAGCCGTAATTTTTTACTTATTTTATGTGGGTCAGATCGCGTGAGTTAAATGTGCGTAATCCATCGGCACGTTCGTTCACGCGCCAAGTTTATTCGTTGCCTCCGTGTTGAGTGGCGGAGGGTGAGTACGACACGCATTCTTCCACACGACGAAAAAGTGATCTGACCCAAACGCCGAGCGACGTGTAAAATCAATGACGAATCACAAGCGCGAGAGAATTCATTTCGCGGCGTGATGCGAACGCGTACGAGGGGGGAACCAAAAGAAGAGCGCTGTGGTAGCTAGGAGATGTTAACTACCTCGCCTGGTATACAGGAGGTCGTGGGGTCGATCCCGACCCTGACACCTGCTGTATATTTGGAGTGTGCGTGTCTCTCTCTCATCATCATCAAGGTGGCTAGGAGATGTTAACTACCTCGCCTGGTATACAGGAGGTCGTGGGTTCGATCCCGGCCCTGACGCCTGCTGTATATTTTGAGTGTGCGTGTCTCTCTCTCTCATCATCATCAAGGTGGCTAGGAGATGTTAACTACCTCGCCTGGTATACAGGATGTCGTGGGGTCGATTCCGACCCTGACACCTGCTGCATATTTGTAGTTTGTGTGTCTCTCTCCCCGTGGTCGCGTGGATTTTCTCCGGGCACTCCGGTTTTTCCCTCCACATTTAGAATCAACAGCACGTGTTTAGAGAATTTTGCTGCTATTCATGTCCCCGCGATAAGCCACTTCGTTGGGCTATAATTTGTGATAGTGCTCTATATAGCTCATTGAGCCTTGCTTGGTAAAATTATATAAACAAAATAGTTTATATAATTCTAATAATTTTATAGACATCGCGATTATCCCACCTGCGACTTGGGGAGAAGCAATGCGTGTCGTATCGTCGTCCACGTGCTGTGGTGTGGGCGTGGCTCGTGGCACGTGGCTTGTGGCACGTGCTGTGTTGTGGGCGTGGCTCGTGGCACGTGGCACGTGCTGTGGTGTGGCCGTGGCACCACATGGCTCGTGGCACGTGCTGTGGTGTGGTCGTGGCACGTGGCACGTGCTGTGGTGTGGGCGTGGCTCGTGGCACGTTGTTCGTGGCACGTGCTGTGGTGTGGTCGTGTCACGTGCCATGTGGCTCGCACAGATGCGCCTCGACGAGGATCAGTTCGCCGTGCATCTGGACGTGAAGCACTTCGCGCCCGAGGAGTTGGGCGTCAAGGTGGTGGACGACTTCATCGAGGTGTACGCCAAGCACGAGGAGCGACAGGTAACCGACGGCAAAAGGCGCACCACGGGGGGTGGGGGACTCCTTGGCTTTGAAACGTCCCCAAACGAAACGAGTGATTGGAAAGTTTTTCGACGGCGGCATTTAAAAAAATGTAAATTGTTTGTTGTTCACAATACAGGTTTTTTGGGTTAGATCGCATAAACTTTGGGTTAGATCGCGTACAAGACTGAATTAACTATACTTGCAAATGGCAAGGTGTTCAGGACCTCAATACCAATGTCCAGGTCTGCTGCTGGCCACGACGAGAGGGCTTGAGGCGAGGGGGTTGGAGTAGTTTTGCCCTTCCGTTGAAGGAGTGCAGACTGCAGTGTTTATCTGCGGGTCTGTATAGATCTCTGAGTGTCTACGGGTCTCCATGGATCGCTGTGTATGTCTATGTGTTTCTATGTATCTATACGGATCTATGTGTCTCTCTATGTGTCTCAATGTGTATCTATGTATCTCTATGGATCTCTGGGTGTCTAAGGGTCTCTATGGATCGCTGTGCATGTCTATGTGTTTCTATGTATCTCTATGGATCTATGTGTCTCTACGGGTCTCTATGGATCGCTATGTATCTCTAGGTGTATTTATGTATCTCTATGAATTGCTGTGTGTATTTATGGGTCTCTATGGATCGGTGTATATGTCTGTGTCTCTGTATCTCTATGGGTCTATGTGTCGCTCTATGTGTCTCTATGTATCTCTATGGATCGCTGTATATGTCTATGTGTCACTCTATGTATCTCTATGGATCTATGTGTCTCTCTATGTGTATCTATGTATCTCTATGGATCGCTGTGTATGTCTATGTGTTTATATGTATCTCTATGGATCTATGTGTCTATGCGTTTCTATGTATCTCTATGGATCTATGTGTCTCTATGTATCTCTGTGTATCTCTATGGATCTATGTGTCTCTCTATGTGTTTCGATGTATCTCTATGGATCTATGTGTCTCTATGTATCTCTGTGTATCTCTATGGATCTATGTGTTTCTATGTATCTCTATGGATCTATGTGTCGCTCTATGTGTCTCTATGTATCTCTATAGATCTATGTGTCTCGACGGGTCTCTATGTGTCTCTATGGGTTCACTATACGGTCTCTAGTTTGGGTTGCAAGGTGACAATCACACGACTCGACTGTTGCTTGTCTTGAATTCCCCGTGCGTAAAGAAGGAGGTGTGCTCATTGTGGCGTGCTGAGAGGCAGCAGTGCACAGCGGTTGAAGACCGCCGCTGTAGTACTGTCATTGTGCGTGCCAACGCCGTGGCCAATCAGAACCCCAACGCCTTCAAAGTGCGGGCCACCCCCCGCACCACGCCACCCCCCAAAGTGCTGGGTCCGGGGCTAATCACAACCCAACATGGGGGCCACCCCCCGCCACCCCCCCCCAAAAAAAAATGTGGGTCCTGGGGCTAATCACAACCCCAACGCCTTCAAAGCGCGGGCCACCCCCAGCACCCCGGCAACCCCCTCCCCCTCAAAGTGCGGGGCCCGGGGCTAACCACAACCCAGCGGCTTAAAACTAAACCAGAAGTATTACGACTGATACCGTGATGTCGAAGCGCGGGTCACCCCCCGCCCCCCCGCCACCCCCCCCCCCCCAAAGTGCGGGGCTCAGGGCGTTCGGCCCGAATCGCTGTAGCCTCAGGACGGTTCTAAATTAAACCATGTTTTTGTGTTATATCACCAGGTAAAGCCCACTGAGCTGCATAGCTCTTTTGCAGAAGCGACCTGCCCATCACGTATAAATATACAGCAGGCGTCAGGGTCGGGATCGAACCCACGACCTCCTGCATACCAAGCGAGGTCGTTAACATCTCGCCCTCAACCCCCACCCCCCCCACCCCTTCGACCCGCGCGCCGCCGCAGGACGAGCACGGCTTCATCTCGCGAGAGTTCCGCCGCCGCTACCGCCTCCCCGCGAGCGCCGACGCGGGCGCCGTGGCGGCGGCGCTGTCCCCGGACGGGGTGCTGAGCGTGCGCGCGCCGCTTCACCCGCCAAGCGCAGCGCCCGCCGAACGCGCCGTGCCCATCACGCGCTCCGCAAAGTCGCCCGCCGTCATCGGCAGCGACGACTGAGAGGCGGTGACCGCCCGGCCCGGCCGCTCGCCACCGCCTCGCGTGGCCGTAACCCAAACCTCGCCGCACACGCCACTCACGCCACACGCGGCGATCACACCCACCGCTCGCATGACACACATCAGCATACACACTGAGTACACGCGCCACTCACGCAACAAACACAGTGAGCATACACACCACTCACACCACACAGTGAACACACGCGCCACTCACACCACACAGTGAACACACGCGCCACTCACACCACACAGTGAACACACGCGCCACTCACACACCACACACTGAGCATACACGCCACTCACACTCAGGGCCGGATTAAGATGTTGTAGGCCCCTGGGCTACAGGTACTGTGAGGCCCCCAGTAATATTTTCAAAGGAAAACAAAGTTAAAGAAAAATAAAATGTATTTTTCCAAGGCCAACAACAAATAAAATTCACCATTCACAAGTAAATAATCTTTCACTTCATCCCTGGAGACCCTCCAGCTGGCGGAGGCCCCTAAAGCCCCCACGCCTTAATCCGGCCCTGCACACACCACGCACAGTGAGTAAACACACCGCAGCCACGACTCACACCGCACACAGTTTAAGCACCCGAAACACACACAGACTACACCCACCACTCACACACCATACACAGTGCGTACACGCACAACACGCCACACACACAACACACAGCGGGTGCACAAACGTACCAGACACCACGAACACCACACACAACCCCCGGCCGGTCGTGGGCGTGTGATGATGATTGATGATTGACCCCCACACATACCGGACAGTATTTCGATGAATCATCGCAGTTCAAGGATCGTTTCTCGTATGAAGTTTTTTCTCCAACGCCTTTTCAATTGATTCTCATTTTTGTTTGGTTTCGCTTGGAGATTACTCGCGTAAGATTTGCATAAAATTCGCATACATATCGAAAAACAATGATTCTTACTTGATTCTATGTTTGTATCGTGAGCCTTAAGAATTTATGTTAATCAATGCAATATAGACCATCTGATCACATACTCGACACATAGAAATTAGTGTATTAAGTAATGAATATATTTAAAGGGATTTTGTTTAGTCTTTTCCACCAATGTTATCCCCATTATGTCAGCACCCATCATGTCACGCGACAAAGAATCAATTTGGAAATCTTGCAGAGAAATGCATCACCACCCTGTGTTTGAAAAGAACATCCCGTAGAAGTAGACATCACGGAACTGGTATGGAAATCCCTCAAGTGATCTCTTATCCACACTCGTAGGCAGAACCTCTCTCCCTTCCCTGCGACAGAGGGGAAATGTTAGTTGCATGGCAAATTGACGTTTAATTCTCAGGCTTGGAATTCAGGCAAATTTAAGTGCAAAATGAACGACAAAAAGTCCATGTCATTATCTTTTTGCCGTAATTGGAGACCGAGCTGAGAACATCAACGCAATGCGCCTGAGAATTCGGTTTAATCCACGGGCGGCGGCGTTCACTGCTCTCACACAACTCTTGAGCCGCCCGACCAAAAAGTGAGCGTACGAATGCACGCTTCGAATTATGATTGGTTTGATCATTTTAAGCGACTTTTTTGTAGAAACCCTGCAGAGTCTATGGACACATTGCATTCGCGAATGACTCGGTTGACTGGATCGAGGCGGAGAGGGCGGGGGGATTGTTACATGCCTATCACATGGCACAGACAACGAAATAGGCCACACACACCACACACAACCACACACAACACACATAACACACACAACCACACACACACTACACAACCACACACACACTACACAACCACACACACACCACACACAACCACACACACCACATACAACCACACACACACCACCACACACAGCCACACACAGCCACACACACACCACACACAACCACACACACCACACACAACCACACACACCCACACACACCACACACAACCACACACACCACATACAACCACACACACACCATCACACACAGCCACACACACACCACACACACCCACACACACCACACACAACCACACACACCACATACAACCACACACACACACCACACACCACCACACACAACCACACACAACCACACACACCACATACAACCACACACAACCACACACAACCACATACACCACACACAACCACACACACCACATACAACCACACACACCACACAACCACACACACCCACACACACCACACACAACCACACACACCACATACAACCACACACATACCATCACATACAGCCACACACACACCAGCCACACCCACCACACACAACCACACACACCACATACAACTACACACATCACCATCACAGACAGCCACACACCACACCACACCCACACACAACCACACACAACCACACACACCACATACAACCACACACACACCACACACCACCACACACAACCACACACAACCACACACACCACATACAACCACACACAACCACACACAACCACATACACCACACACAACCACACACACTACATACAACCACACACACCACACACAACCACACACACCACATACAACCACACACACCCACACACACCACACACAACCACACACACCACATACAACCACACACACCATCACATACAGCCACACACACACCAGACACACCCACACACACCACACACAACCACACACACCACATGCAACCACACACACACCATCACACACAGCCACACACCACACACACCCACACACACCACACACAACCACACACACCACATACAACCACACACACACCACACACCACCACACACAACCACATACAACCACACACACAGCCACACACACACCACACACACCCACACACACCACACACAACCACACACACCACACACAACCACACACACACCACACACCACGACACACAACCACACACAACCACACACAACCACACACCACCACACACCACCACACACCACCACACACAACCACACACAACCACACACACCACTCGCCCACGCTGATTACAGGACCAACGCATGAGACATCGAGTGCAAGCCAATCAGCACCCATTGCAATCCCTTTCAAAAATGCTTACGTATTGCACAGATTCATTTATTTATTTTTATCCAGGAAGGATCGAGTAGTGGAACAGTGATTTGGTGGTGTAATGTGCTACGAACCTGGCCACCTGAGTTCAAATCCCGGCCATGGCTAACATTGGTGGCGAGTGACATCTGAACCGGTCCCACGCCTTCTAGGCCACTCCCGTCACCTGGCCCTTCATCAGCTGGCACTGACCAGCGTAGTGAAGTTGTGTAAATCATATAAAAAACCATAACTGACATGGCTTGGCGAGGCCTTCATTGATGGTTGTATTGAGAATGACTCTCTAGTAGTATTTTATTCAAGAGTTACACCACTGTAGGCTGCGCGCCTTCAACTGTGGAATTGCAAAACTACACAGCAGAAACTCGACATCGGCATTCAGCTCCTGGAGTGGATGTTTTAGACCACTTAATAGGTCGCATACAAGAGATTCCTCCTGGGTTGAGTGGCAACGCCTCGTCTGATTTTTTTTTTGCGTGAGTAGTACAGAGATGTTGGATTCAACTGGGGTGGGGGCAGTGCCGGATTAAGCGAGTGCGGGGCCTGTAGCATATGCTATAAAGGGACCCTAAATTAAAAAAAAAACATAAATATTAAAACACATTTTTTTACTTGCATGGTAAAGTAATTGTATTTTTTCATTTGCTATACAGCCAGATAATACGACAAATCGCTAACCTTAAACACTCAGTCGTTCATAAAAGTTGAAGGCGGTATAGTACTATAGTAATAGAGCAAGTGCAGAATCACTGAACCAGAATTTCTATCTTGAAAGCATTTAGCGCGGGGCCCTTGAAAGTGCGGGGCCCGTAGCTACTACATGCGTAGCTACTACATGTGTAGCTACTTTTGCGACTAGGATCATCCTGCACTGGGTGGGGTGGGGGGTAACGTCAGTGGCACTAATGCACTGACCACTGTCTCACTGCGTGAAGTCACTTTCATGATTTTGACGCCACTGCCAGAAATTGGCATCTCTGGCGGGAGCGCGTCTCATACCCTTACAGCAGCGGGTTAGCCAGGGACGCCCTTTGCCAGGAGGGGTTTATCCTTTTTAACAAATATGATCCTCCAGATCCTAGATACAATTTAACAGTACCCATCCAAATTGTATAATTCATGACCGCGCCCTTGAAGTGATATTGTGACAATCCGTGTGCTCTATGAACGCACTTCGTGATTTTTATTTTATTTTATTGAAGGCCTTATAAAATAATTGACAGGGAGTATTATTGCAATATACATGCGGCTCCTGGTGTTGGACTAAATTGAAAGTAATAATGGAAGGGGCTCAAGCCAGGATTTAGGTCACACGTGAGCTGCATTCTACATGGCTACAAAAGCCACTCACAAGATGCCCTCTGTCTCCCCACGAGAGTAAACGGTGGTAATTTAAGTGTCTGCACATTCGAGTGTCTCTGTGTCTCGTGCGAAAAAAAATCAAAATTTCTTCCTCTTCAAATCCCCGTGTTCCCTCGGCGCAATGAATAATGCACGGAGTCGACGGGCGGTAAGACCGATGAAAGACCGTCCTAGGCAAAAGTAATTCAGCTTGTTGATGACAATGCGAATTTTGTCCACGCGACCACACAAACCTTTTGTTTGAGATGAAACCAAAACACGTTAGAAGTTTGTGATGGTAAACTATGGGTGCCATGTTCATTACAGGCAACAGCAAAACAAAGTACCATAAAAATGAAACCTCTGTCCATGTCTGTGTCGAGGTGACTGTAATCACACCCTTTTTAGCATTCGTACGCCACACACGGAGAGCGAGTTACGTTTACCGTGAAGGAGCACGCAGCGAAATACGGTGCCTGCATTCGACAGGACTTGACGAGTGCTGTACGTTCCGTATGGTTGAACTTATTTCGCACCGTACGTAGCCAACCACGCTAATCGGAGGTGCGGAGTGAAGGACAACGATGGGTGCCCCGGAACGCAAAGACAGCTGACGAGGCAGCGCCGTGGACTGCCGATCTGTTAATGTTAACCATGGCTAGGAGATGAACTTAGTTCGTCTCGTTTGTGGTGCAGTGTAATTAACCATGTGCCACTGTTCTAACCCGCAATGAGTTAATGTGACGGAACGTACATGCTGTCAAAAGCAATGTAGTGCCATTTTTTTTTGTTCCAGAGAATATTGAGATTGTGAACACTTTTTACCTGCGTTCGATGTTTGCGTTTAGAAATATTGCATTTGTCAACCCAGTTGGCATTCAACATTGGGTCAACGTTCTGTGCCAACTGGGTTGAGCCAGATTTATCATCTTGCAAACTGGCCAAAAGTCGCCTTAAGTGATTTTATGTGCAAGTGTTCGTGGCACATTTACAGTAAATTATTTTGCGAAAGTGATAATTCACCAAGATGACAATGTGACCGCTTGTTTAATCTATGACACCAAAAGAACCAAACATTGTTTGACAATGTCATCAATCTTCCAGTCCCGACGGAGTTACACGACTGCATGCATTGTAATTGACTCAAACGTTCAAGCAATTTACTCCAAGCGATTATTCCCCAACTCCATTGACACGTGGATGGTCTTCGAGCATGCGATGTGATTTTCCTGTTGTCTGTTTTGTTGCACACACTCCAGCACGCGTCGGGAACGTCTGAAACCAGGTTGCCGCCGCATCAGTACACGACGGCTTAAGTGAATTTTAGGCATCCTGCGCTGTACGAAATTCCCGGAGTTTGCCTACCGACAGCTCAGTACGAATCGGTCACAAACGCGGCCGATAACGCCTCGCATGCCGCCCCTTTCCCACCAACCCCCTTTGATCCAGTTATTTATTTTTTGCAACTTCACCATTCCGCACTGATTTTGTGCACTAAACCAAAGTCGCGACGAAACCTGTAACTGGGTGAAATTCGACGGTCGCATGTGATGGGGTCGATGCTGATGCCTGCCGGTTGACATTCGTTCGTCACGTGTTTCTTTAAAATAATCGGCGCATTGCAAGGACTGAGAAGTGAAGTGGGTGCTTCTGACACTGGAAACCAAGACGCTAATATATGAGAGTTAGTTAAGAGGGATACTGACGACACACAATAACCCACACAGTACACAGACAATATGGTGATAACATTGCATATATAGAAATAACTGTGGTGTTGATGCCAGTCAATTGATAACTGCTCCCGCATTATAATCGCAGGAGGCTGTGGTCTTGCCTGAAACTAGTGCTTTGATGTCGTGTTACCCGTGTCTACACGTCGTGGCATACGTGGCACCTGTACCGCTGTCGTTAACGAGCGAGTGATGCGCATATAAAGTCGAGGCTCCATCGTCCTGAGTGCGGAACGCAAGGCCGTCCCACCGCGTTGCATTGTGACGCACCGAGCCCAAGTCGGAGTCACGTGACGGAGAGAGATTTTATTTACTCTTATACACACACAGCCTTGGGTGCTCTGCTCAGCAGTGCGTGATTTCACCCCGGGGCAATGCCGTGATAGCTCGGCGAGATGGGAAGACCTGAGCTGTGGAAATGAAAATAAAATGTATGTACAGCCTGTAACAATGGAGTCCCGAGTCGTCCCTTCAATTTCTGGTGGCTACGCGCGTGGCCCATAATCCAGCACTGCGGAGGCGAGGATTGGTGTATCACCGCACGAATGTTGTGAAACGCCCTTCCCGTGGGAGTCCAGGAGGTTGCCGTACCCTAGCCCGCCACGAGAAGGCGGTACAATGTGAACGCCATCTGTTCAATCTGTACGGGATAGAGTGTTGCCCCCTCGCACGCGTGGGTTGTCTCCGCTTTCCTCCCACATGTAAACTATTCGTTAATAGGCTGAAAACATCTCAATGTATGGAGGACCACAGATCTCGGGCAATTATTGGTAGCGCTGGCTGACCGCCTTCCCTCTTGTTTTTGCCCCTTGAGTCGTTCTGTCTCTTTGAGAGTGGAAGCGGCGCAGTGTTACAAGTTGAAAAATACAATTATTATAGCACGGCGTTCTCCACGCAGGACCGAACACACACGCCGCACACGGTAGCTCCACTTCACATAGATATCTTTCGAAGGTTCGCTTTGGGCTGGTCTATACACTTCGTGCCGTTTCCCTCCCGAGGCTAGAATCCCGAAAATGGCTTCGCCGTTAGCCCCTCCTCCTCCTCGCAATTCAGCAAGAACGTGCAACATCCAGAAGAAACCCCGCGTGCTTGCTGTCCATCATCGCCAGTCTATGGCTGAAGTTTCAGCAGCTCTCCCATCTCGACAACTCCTACCATTGGCATTCCCCATTGCCCATGGCTCAAGGAGCTCACCTACGCGACGATCCTACAGCTTTGCACCACGTGATCGACCGAGGCGAAACCCATTGACGCTACTGGATGCACGGAGGGTTGTGCGGCGGGGGAGGCGGTCGCGAAGAATTTTAGGAGCTTGCGCCTTTTTGTTGTCGTTGAAAAACGTCGTCCCGGGGTGTCGAATGGAACCGCCGACCTTCCGGATCGTGAGTGTCCAGCGTGCTAACCGCTACACCGAGCTCTTGCGTAGCAGCAACCACGCGGCGCCACGTGCATACTGCCGGCTCACCCCGGACCTGTCACACAAACACTGATGCCTGGGCACACATCGAAGGGCCTGTTTGCGGGTCCGGCGTTGCGAGGTCCTTCTGGGCGGTATTGAGCCTGGCTTTTGAGTTGAGAAGAAACCACATCATCAACCACGTCAATATCGACTACAAACACATCATCATCAACCACATCAACAAAAACCACATCAAAAACCACATTATCAACAACCAAATTATCAAAAAAGTACATCATCAACCACATTAACAAAAAAACACAACTACATTAACAAAACACACATCAACAAGCACATCAACAACCATATTTTCAACAAAAGCCACATTAACAACATTATGAATAAAACCACATCCAAATCAGAATTTTGGTTGCTCCTGTTAAGCATTTATTGTCAAAATATATATTTTTTAAATCACACAGGTATTTTAATATGAACATATTGACATGCATAATAACGTCGTTGATACAACAGTGAAAGAAAATTATAGCTTTAATCTGGTGCTGATCAGACTGAATCGATAGATTTCCAATTGGTTCACGATAACTTTTCTTAAGTTTGGTCAGACCAGTTCGATCTTAAATCCTCAGGTGTATATATCCGGTTCGAGAGTTCAACTTTCTCAAATTGTGTGTGTGCATGTATGCGTGTATGCGTGCGTGCGTGTGTGTATGTGGGGAGCGGTAGTGTAGCGGTTATCGCGCTGCGCTATGAAGCTGGCGACACGGGTTCGATTCCCGCTCACGGCCAACACCAGTGACGATTATCTGAAGCGGTCCCGGGCCTCCCCTAGGTCGACTCAGCCTTAAATGAGTACCTGGTGCGATGTGTAAACATCGCCACTAGGGAGACAAAGGCGGTCAGGCGTGGTGCTGGCCACCCACCCCCTCGTGTACCGTTCCGGCCTTCATAGGTGCTCGCTAACAGCACTTGCCCCTACAGTCTAAGGCTATACGGGGGATCTTTATCTTTGTATGCGCGTGTGCGTGCGTGCGTGCGTGCTTGCGATCGTTTGAGTGGTGCACAGATTACGCCGCCTTTCGCTCGCTAAAACATGGGCTGCAGGTAGGGGAAGCAATGCATGAGCTTGCCCAGAGTGACGGGAGCCTGGGGCGACTCCATGATGGGGTTCTTGTCCAGGCGGAAGTAAGAGAGGCGTGAGGACTCCCTGCCCTCGGGCCGGCAGAGCGCGGTCGTGTTCACGTCTGGCGTACGGAGATGCAAATCGGCATGCACACAGGGGGCGGGTCGCAAGCACGCGTCACTTAGTCCATGTGCCGTCACGCGCATCGTCACACATCGGCTGTCTCCTCTTTATTCATTGTCGATTATTATTATTCTTATTTTTTATGGCAGACCGCCGCGTAAGTAATATGTTGCGGGTTCCACTCACATAACGTGCTTGTTATGTCAGTGGACATCCGTGAAAAAAGTGCTTCATAGCTCATCAGATTCCTCCAGTATAAATATTCTGATTCTGTTTGAAAATCAAAATGACAAGGATGTGTTTTCAGGTTGTACCACGTGTTGATTGGCACGATGTTTGACATTTCTCATCAAGTTGAGCTTATTCATTGCCTGAAGAAGCGCCTAAGCACACGGTACAAGCCGACAGCTACATACAGCACAACCGCAAAATAAGCTACGCAGAAAGCGTCAGGGTTATTGCAGCCTTTGTCGGTGTGTCGGTCCCGAATACTTTCACTGTGCAACGTCTTAGCAGATCCCGCAACCCGGGGGGCTCCCCCTCTCACCTTCGATGTCATTCTCATCCAGGTGCAGCTGCACCAGGTTGCCGTGGAACGCGGGCACGTGCTGCAGGTGGTTTGCGGAGAGGCGCAGGTTGAGGAGGGCGCGCGAGATGAACGCTCGCTCCGGAATCCCGGTCCGTTTCTCTCTACTGGAGCCTCCTCCGTCAGCCTTCGACGCAACATTCACTGCGCACAAGCTGCTGTTGCCGGCCTCGGTCCCAGTTACGACCACTTTCTTCCCTGCGTCACCGGAATCGCTTGCATTCTTATTTCCACCGGCAGCCTCGCTGACGCAGATGGTGCCACCACCACCACCGCCGCCACCACCACCGTCATCTCTCACACTTCCACGAGCGGTGTCGGTCGCGCTGCTGTTCCCTCCAGCGCTCGCCCTGCCGTCATCAGCCCCAGCGCCGCTGCCACCTCGCCGCGTCCCAAGGGCGTTCTTTCCCAGGTCCAGCCATGCCAGGCGAGGGAAGGAGGCGAGGTAATTGTCCGGTATTGACTCGATGACGTTGTCGCACAGGATGAGCTGGTAGAGTAATCCGGAAGGAGGCTGGGGTGGGATGGGGATGGGTTCCAGACAACACGAGAGGCACAAGCTTTGCCTGGTAAAATACAATTATTTCGTGTAATTCGTATATTCCTTAAGTGATTTGCTGACCTTTCATTTGCTTTGACTCCTATGGTGTTTTGTATTGTTGTAATAACGTTCTGACCCGCCCATACTGGACATCCATGACAAAGAGTTTTATAGCTCATCGGATTCCTCCAGTATAAATAAATATTCTGATACTGATGAGCAACATCAGAATGTTGTATCCAAGCAGGTACTTGTGGAATTTGAAACGGTGCGAGTTGATGATGAATAATATTAACCATGACACAAAGCAGTATTCAGTGGTTCCTCGGCTTACGATGCCCTTTATTAACGATATTTCTATTAACGATCCACCTCCCATAGGGGTCCCATTGTTTCTATTAACGAGACATTTTTGATTAACGATACGGTTTACGACATCACGCGGCCGCTAATTTCGGCCAATCGGAGCGCTCCCAAGTGGACTCAGCAGCAGACCTCATCCAATCAGCGATGCCCCTTGATGAGCGTTTTGAGAGCAGGTGGCTGCGAGCTTTCGAATGTCTGATGTGCGTTGCTTATGGAAGCAGCTCCCTTGAATACTTAGTGGGTTTTTTTCACTTAAAAGTTAAATTAGATCAATAACAATGGCCTCTAACATGAATGTCAAGAGAAGAAAGTGAGGAAAACAATTTGTTCAACAATTACATTCGTTTTCTCCAACCCCAACTTCGCCATCAACCCCTTAAGCCATCAACCCCTTAAGCCATCAACCCCTTAAGCCATCAACCCCTTAAGCCATAAACCCCTTAAGCCATCAACCCCTTAAGCCATCAACCCCTTAAGCCATCAACCCCTTAAGCCATCAACCCCTTAAGCCATCAACCCTTAAGCCATCCATCTTCTTAGCCTGAGGTAAGAATTTTAATTTCACGCTCGATACATGCGCATTTTTATTCTCCGTTAATTCATTATTTATCCATGTTTCTATTCATATTAATGATTTAATATGTTCTTATGACGTGTATTTATTATAATTGCGTGTTTAAATATGATAAACTATGTTTTTCGAGTGAAAAAGATCATCTTGGAACAAACTAAGCCTTTAATATGTATTTCCTATATTCGATTAACAATAATTTTAATTAACGATGGTTTTGGTGGAACCAATTAATATCGTTAACTGAGAGACCACTGTACATATATTAATTTGGTTCTTCAAACTCCAAATTCCTGAGGCTATAGCCCCTAAGCCCCCCCACGTTAATCTGGTTCCTTACAGCAGGCCCTGTTGCAAAGAACGCTACAGGGAAAACTCTTGTCTGGAAAATGACTTTGCGCCGAATCAAGAAAGGAGTGAATGTTTTACGCGAGAGCAACGGGGCCGGTGAGTGTGTAGGCAGGCGGGGCGGGCGGGCGGGCACCTTCGGCGGCATGGCTCGCAAGCGGTTCTCGGCCAGGTTGAGTTGCACGAGGGCAGAGAGGCCCGCGAAGGCGTCGTCCCGCAGGACCTGCAGCCGGTTCGCGCTCAGGTCCAGCATGCGCAGCCGCGACAGCCTGGCGAATGCGCCCTTCGGCACGAGGGCGATGCGGTTCTGCCCCAATCGCAGGTCCTCCAGGGAGGCGGGGAGACCCAGAGGAACCTGCAAGTGCAGTTCAGGTCCTTGTCGTTTAACGGGCGAGGCGAGAACTTGACGAGGATGACAAAATCGCTATCACGTGCCCCCGAGTTTGCTCTCTCAGGTTCTCCAGCTGTACCTCTCCGCCCTTCGCACTCCACCGACCACGGCAAACTGCCGTGCCCGACGGGGTACGCCCACAAATAATTTGCTCGTCGTAACACCACAACCAGGAACGTCCTGGCCGAGCGGCGTTTCACCCGCAGCTGCACCTGGCACCCGCAGCTGCACCTGGCAGACATCGGGAACTCTATCCCACTGCACATTCGCAGCATCCAAGCAGCACCATCAAGCAGCAGCTCAGGGCTCTCACACTTTGAATGTTTAAATTAGAAATGTTGTGGGTTTACTCTCCAACACACCGGTGTGCTGAACTAGTAACGAATTGTCACGGTTTGTTTACGTGACAAACCTTACTCATTGGCTGTGTCGGGTGGTGACGGGTTTAATGGCATATTTATATTAACGTGATCTAACCCAAAAAACGTTTATGAATATAGGTCGCAAATGGTTCCTACTTGTTAAACTCTCAGACTTTAATTCAGCTGGTAAGGCTCTTTTACAAGGAAAACCATGTGACAAATATATGTACGCTGAACTTCTATTGCACCATACGGAGCCAACCGTGTTAAGTGGAGGTGCGGGGAAGGACAACAAACTAAACACACAGCAGTTCTAGAAAAAAAAGGCACACAGAAACAAATTATAGTTTTTAAAAATAATTTTACCTCCCAGCCAAAATCGTGACCATTCGAGCAAAACTCTTCACTGCCTACTTCCTCATCATTAGACCTCATTTGCCAGTACCAAAATATAATAATAGGAATCATGTGTGCATTAACCACAATACTTATGGTCTAAATGCAAACAAAAAACACACTCTGATAATATATGCATTGTCTTTGCAACTGATTGGTCCACACCAGGGACGGCTTTCTTTTGAGCCTCGTCTCAATCGGTGCTAGACCAGAGGCCAAAAGTCGGATAGCTCAAAGACAATGTACTATCAAAGTAATGAGAGCTGGCGGTAAGCATCTACATCATTAGACCTCCTTTGCCAGTACCAAAATATAATTATAGGGGTTTTCCCCTTTTTTCTGGCAACAAAACTGAAACCTTTTTACAAGGATTCATGTGTGCATTGTCGCGTGCCTACTTCCTACCCACCCACCCACCCTCTTCCCCCCTCCATCCCTGACCTCCGTGAGTTGATTTCTCTGCAGGTGCAGCTGCGAGAGGTGCCGGAGCGATCGCAGCGTGTCCTGGGACAGCGTGGGGGACGTGAGCACATTGTCGTCGAGGTTGAGCCCCAGGAGGCCACCCGCGTCCCGCAGGTCGCACTCTGATAGCGCCTCGATGTTGTTGTTCTGAAAGTACGCGAATCTTCGGAACGGGGACGCGCACGTGGAGAGACAAACGGCGATTACGTGTAAGTAAATTAACAAATGAAGACATCGAAGTGGCTACCATAGACTTAAACGCTCCCATAGACCTCAATGTCAAATCCCCCCCATAGATTTCAATCTCAAAGGCTCCCATAGACTTCAATGTTAAATCATCCTATAGGCTTCAACGTTAAAGGCTCCCATAGACTTCAATGTTGAAGGCTCCTATATACTTCAATGTGAAAGGCTCCCATAGACTCCCTTAGACTTGGATGGAGGTGGCAGCGCGGTTCAAGGGTCAGAGCATTGAGTGGCAACCCCTGAGGTACCGTGGTCGAATCTGGGCACCCGTGGTTACTCAACGTCTGTGATAAAGAGCTTCAGAAATCATCGGATTCGTCCAGCTTAAATTAAGATTCTGATTCTGGTTAAACTGCGGTCTCCAGCGTGGAATGGTTGTTGTTTGTCTCGGCCTGGTCACGAATGACGACAATATTCCCCTCGTTATTCACGAATTTGGCTATCCGCAATTTTGGCTATCCGCCAATCGCATCTGGAACTCTGCAAGACTGCATCGAGAGAGAATGAGAGAGAATGTCACGCGAGAGAGTGATGAGATGAAGTGATGCGTGATAAAGTGATATTAAAAGTTGAGAGATAAAGTAAGCACTATAAAGTGATGAGAGATAAAGTGATGAGATCATTTTCATGTATTTAATAGCTTATTTATGTACGTATTTATTTAAAATAAATCATGAAAAAATTTTTCATAGGCCAATATCATTATCCGCGCCCCATTTAATATACTATTAAAAAAGAGAAAAACAATATGCTGAGCGGTGGCTATAATTTGGGGTGGGACTTGGGAGGAACGGTGTGGGGGGTGGAGCGCAGGCGGGCTGGGCCCACCGGACACGCGCGGGGATGCGCGGGACGTCGTGAAGCTCCCGCCCGTCGCAGTAGATGGCGCCGGGGTGGTCGGGAGGGCAGTAGCAGGCGACGGGGCACAGCGGTGGCACGCGAGGGGCGGCGCGCGGTGGCGCTTTTGTGGAGGCCGAGCCGTTCGACGCCGCCGCGGGAACCGGCAGAGCGATGGCTGTGTCCTCCTGGTCGCAGCGTGGGCCGGTCTGCGTGCACGCGGGCACACGTCGCGCGTCACACGCAACACGCCAAGCACCACGTGCCGTACGCCACGCGCCACGCGTCACTCGTCACATGCCACACTCGACGTGTCATACGACACGACCACGTGTCGCGTGCCACGTGTCACACTCCACGTATCACACGTCACACGCCACGTGTCACACTTCACACGCCACGCGTTACACGCCAAGCGTCACGCAACAAGCCCGGCTCCTATAGTCGGTTCAGAGCTACAGCAGTGGAGGGACAGTCTACGTGTGCGTTACACGCAGGGCGGGATTGAGTTTGATGAAGGAGACCTGGAGCTGTCACAGTGTAAGTTCATTTTGATTTGTTATACGGATGGTGGTGATGATCGTCCCGTTTAGCCAGTAGGCCGCCTATTTTACACGGCAGATCCGTGGTGCTGCGTAATCGCAGCAGAAACAAAACTAAAAACGTCAATACAGCTGAGAAGGAGCACAAGAATGTTGCTCGAAGTTTTTGGACTCCCCTCTTTGCATATTCAATTGTAAAATTAAGTTCCGTGCCATTACTGTTTCACCACCACCCATGGCCAATGCCACTTTAGCTGTTTCAGTTCTAGTTTTCCAACACGATACATGAGTTGGACAACTAATTCAAAGTTAAAACGAGTTTAAAGTCGGCTCGTCACTGCTTATAACACAGTGATGCTACGGTTTTCATTACCAAATTACCCACAGGATATATCATCAGGGGTGGACTGTGACCCAATAGGCCCTGGGCCACGTCATCACTTTCCATGTCACGTAACTGCGACACCGCGAGATGACATCACACTCAATAGCGTCATAGCTTTGACCTTAGAGGCTTATCAACTTAGGCGATATGACGTCAACGTACAACACAGTGTTGTAAATTCAAGACCAAATGACCCGAATGCTAAAACTAATTCCAAGGCTAACCCCCAAATTGAAAGCGAGCGTGTTCCAATCATGCATTGTCATATTACATGTTTTGGCATTTCATCATCAGCCATGGTCAATCCACTGCTGGATGAAGGTCTCCCCAAGCCGCCCCCATCTTGTTCTCATATTTAACACTACTGATTTTTTATTGGCGTGGGTTGCGTTCAGGACCGTTTAATAATTAATCTGTTTCTTGTGCAATATTCCAAAAGGACCCTGTACTCGTTTTCTGCAATGCTTCTTTGTTGTTGTTGTTACTACTCCTGTGCTCACCACGGATCTCCCGTGTAGAAAATAGCCCGGCGACTGGCTAAACGTGATCATCATCCGTGTACAAAATAAAATACAATCGATTATCCAGCGGCTTTGGGGGGAAGGGGGTGCTGGATTTTCCAAAACATCGCTCATCAGTATTAAAAAAAGCTTATTTTTGTACATTCTTGCATAACATTTCGTTTTTAGGTGTTGTGTTTTGCGTTTTAAATTTCTTTACAATATGAAATTGGCATAATTTACACACAAATGGCCAAAAAATATACTCTAAATCGTTACCGTATTTACTGTACCGTACTTACAACTCCAATCTCGAAGACTCTTCATGGGGGTGATGTACGTGGCAATCCGCTCTTGTTTCAACACAACCATGTGTTGGAAGAACGGCGAATTACGCAGCACTTTTCGCCGGATCGTACCGTGTTTATTTTCTGTTTGTATTACTGCAGTATCTGGCTGTCGCCTGATGGTTCTGGTTGTAATATACTGGCGAAACGTCGTACTCAAGATTGCAAATGTCGTGGATTTACTTTCCAACACACCGGCGTGCTGTACTAGTGACGAATTGGCCACGCTCTGCTTACGTGACAAACCTTACTAATTGGCCGTGTCGGGTGGTGGCTGGGTTAACGACACATATTTTACGCGAACTAACCCAAAAAAGAAACCTGTATTATCGATGCAGTTGTTCATCATAACAAATGTATGCACGTGTGCAATATTTTCATTAAGTTGTATGTAATGTATAATGTGCTGTATATATTTGACACTGAAATAGAGCAGAGCTACTTTTTTGTGTCACACGCACGCGGTGCCAATATCCAGATCATAGTTGAAGCCGGATAATCGATGATCTACTGTTAAATCAAATCGATCTCTCACTGTGCTGCGCTGGTACCCATAATAGTATTTCATGTAATTGTTTCAACGAATTATGTACTCCTTGGGCTAGGACTAGGAACAACATACTGCATTGTGTAAGGTATTAAAAGGGCATTTAAATGTTGAATAACATAAACAAATATCGAGTGTCAATTCTTTCCAGAGGTAAAGCAGTAATTTTGTGAGAGCAGTAAAATAATAAACACGCAGTGCAGTAATATATTTGGGATTTGATACCATCAATATGGGTTAGTATAAGGAATATTGTTAGGCTTGATGACATGGTTAGTACCGTGTGTTAGCAGTAGGGTTTAGATTAAAGTTGTGTTGAATGTTACTGTATTCTCTGTATTGGTGGTACAGTGATCATACAGTAGTGCTTGATTCACAATCGGTGAGCAATTCACATCCCACTTGGGGGTTGACTCAACCTATCATTCATCCAGGGTCGATAAAATGAATTGGTGGAGAGTGGTAACTCTGTGGGCTTTTCCATGCGAATGTGGAAAAACCACAACACTTTTCTCAGAGAACTCCACCTGACCACGAGTCCCGTCTCTCTCCTCTTCCTCCCCCTCTTAATTTCGGGAAACTTTTATTGTAGTTTTAGGAAGTACAAATTGGTCCGGGTCAGAGTTGGGAGCCCGATTCCATCATCAGTTTACAGGGGAGGCCAGGCTAACACCGGACCGAGACCCACGTGCTCCCATTACGCGTTTCCCTTGGGATTGGATTTTGTGTCGTTTAGTAGTTGGGGTGGTATGGGAATGAATGCGGCTGCGTACAACGACGACGACGAACAGCAACAACAACAACCACGAGCAGCAGCAGCAGCAACAACAAGACCGAGCAACATCGGACGGGGCAAGAAGAGCCAAGGGCCTCACCTTGCTCACGGGGACGCCCACCGCTCCGCACGCCCCAAGCAGCAGGAGGAGGAGGAGGGCCGCCACGGCGCTCAGAGGGGCCACCATGGCGGAGTGGCCGCGGCGAGGATCCACACCGCAGCACCCCCCCCCCCCAAGGCGAGGGGATTTCCTGCGGCGAGGATCCCACCGCAGGCCCCCCCCCAGCCCACACCCCAGGCCCCCCCCAGCCACACCCAGCCCCCCCCAGCCCCCCCCAGGCCCCCCCCAAGTCGAGGGGATTTCCTGCGGCGAGGATCCCACCGCAGCCCCCCCCCCAGGCCCCCCCAGCCCCCCCCCCAGGCCCCCCCCAGGCCCCTCCCAGCCCCCCCCCGGGGCCCCCCAGGCCCCCCCCCACACCAGGCCCCCGCCAGCCCACCCAGGCCCCCCACCCAGGCCCCCCCCCCCAGGTCGAGGGGATTTCCTGCGGCGCGGCGAGGAAGCGGGGAAGGGAGGCGGTGAACGCCGCCATTGTCGGGTCACTCGCAGGCCCCCTGTGCTCATTGACGGGAGCAAAATGTCGGCGACGTTTCAGGCAATGGGCCTTCTTCATTTGCACTTTTTTTAAGGCAGTGTTATCGACCGATGTTGCCTGTGTACCGCTGCCAATGTTAGTTGTCACCAAATAATCTATAGAGTGTTACTGGCGTTGGACAATCATCCCAATGCTGTAGAATGACCCGCAAATGACTCACATTGGGTCGAGCTTTCCTGTGTAAACAATCGTAACGATATAATACGTACACGTGTGACGAAGTACACGTGTGTAGCGCATACACGCCACGCGTCAAATGTGCTTTTAAATGTAAAGCATGAGAAATGTGTTGTACAAAAGTGCCATGCGCGGTCATTAGATGTGTTTATGCTGTGTGTAGCCTTCCACATTTGAAATGTAAGTGTGCAGGATCTAACTGCGAGGTAAAACCCCAGATAGACGGACGTTGCCCAGAGCTGGGCGAGTGCTGGCAGGATGACAGACCAGTCCGCTGTTGTCTGCAGCACCACCGCACCCCAGGGCCCTGTTGTTGTTGTTTGACTTGCATCCCACTGGGATTTTTGCACACAGCGTTGGTGTACGGTGCTTTTTCAGGAATATTTTGATGTTTTTTCCTGGATTTTCTGTTTGCACAGTCACGTAGTCACTTCAAGATGTTTTTGTTTTTTTGTTGCGGTTGCATCCGATTCAAGAGGCGAATGGCTCACAGGGCTATACCAAATAAACTGAACTGTTATGCAACAGACCACAGTAGTAGGTACTGTGCCTAGGGTCTACAACAACTAAAAGGCCTATGGAAAAAATGTTGACCGTATATTTTATTGTTTGCGTGATAAAAAAAAACGTGACCAAGATATCTTCCTGCATATATTTTTATATAGCAAGGATAGGCAATGTTTATAAAAACAGGTCGAGTGGTGTCAGTGTCAATCTTTTTTTGTCGTAAGGTGAGAGAAATTGTGATTTAAAGCTTTCGTGACTGCAGGAACTTTTCGAGATTTTTTAATAAAAAAATTTGCAATAACATCGTCAAATGGTGTTTTTCGCACAATCTCATTCTCCATAGAGATTAGTGCAAGGGAAAGCAATGCCTTATTGTCCCACGGTTGATCGGAGACAGTTTTTGAATCAGCTTTAGCTTCACAAAAGAATGTCTCCCCTTCACAATTCGTTCCCAAGATGGCAAGATACATCCTCATATAACAATGTAAACATTCGGAAAGCTGCTGATCAGCCTGTCAGATATTTGGGTTCTGAGCAAATCTACCACTGTGTTTTTCACTGCATACAGATGCAGGAACAACAGGAAGTCATCAGTAAATTATTTTTCAAGAAATGCATTGGCCCGGACAACAATTTGTTCCGTGGACAATGATCTATCAAGGACACTGAATCGATCATTCAATCTGCCATGTGCATTTCTCCGTTTTTCCATCTCCACAATAAGTTGATCCATCTCCACAATAAGTTCCTAAACCACATCAATTCCATTTACCCAGCAATCAAATTCACCATGAAGGTATAAAAGGATGGCATGCTACCCCTCTTGGATGTCTTAATCAAAAAGAGACCAGATGGCTCAATGAGCCACTCTGTCTACAGGAAAGTAATCCATACTGACGCTCCCACCACCATCCATACCAGAAGAATTCCCACGTCAAAACGATACACCATAGAGCTCAATGTATCTCCGACCATAAACACCTAACCAGTGAACTCAAACACGTACACCAAGCTCTCAAGGTGAATGGATACTCCGCAAAGCCATCACCCCAACCGTGAGGAAGGATCCATCTGAAGATCAAATCAAAACCATCACCGTACCTTACATAGCAGGGATAACCAAAAAAATATTTCCAAAATCTTGAACAAACACAAGATCCAGGTCCGATTTAACACAGTGCACAAAATTCGTGACCTGACCCCATCTCTGAAGCACAAGATTCCTGACATGCAATATCCCGGCGTCGACAAACTAAGCTGTGTCTGCGGCAGCAGTTACATTGGGGGAACTAAGCGACATGTCACGGACCTTGTTCATGAACATAAGGCAGATCTGAAACACGGCAGGACCAATACGTCTGCCGTGGCTGATCATTACTTTAATGCGGCTGCCTCACGTGAAATGTATTTCTCTAAGAAAGATGTCGTCAACCACTTTGGGTCATGACTTGATTTGTTTTTTCTTGTCAACCTCTACCGTCAGCAGTGTGGATGGGTGTAGCGAGGTGCAATGCCCACCCCCCCCATCTCTGCCCCACCCCCTCTCTCTCCCCCTGACTCTGCCCCCTTCCTTCCCCCCATTGTCTGCTGATACATTACTGGCTGCCCCGCCCATGCTGTTTGCGATGCGCAAGCTCACCTCCGCCCAAATCCCCCCTTTGTGCTGCTCCTGCATTAGCGTGCCCCTTGAGCAGCTCGTGTTGCCTATGCAGCTCTTTCCACCGCCCGCTCACTCACTTTGGTACCCTTATAAGCTGCTACATTTGGAGGCTTGCCCCCTCTTTTCTCTCCGCCTGATGAAGACTGCTTGTGTTGCGATCGAAACGTCGTGGGTTTTTTGCTTTTTTTTACGTGACTTTACCAAGAATATGGATTCCTGCAGTCACGAAAGTTTTAAGTCAAAATGTAATATTCATCTTTGGGATTTTCATCTGCCAAAATGTCAGTTGTTAAAAAAAAATTGAGAAATTATTTGCATGTTAGGAATGTATGCAATGAAATACTCTTTAAACGCAAAAGTATATCTGTAAAGTGTATTCCACAGTTTGATTCTGGCGTAAACCGAACACATTGATGGAGTAAATACACGGACAGAGAGGGCATGCCGGTTATACATGGAGCCGCTCGCAATGGCAGGCAATCTACGGGTGCTGTAGCAAACAAAAAAAAGACTAAAACTAAACTTTGTTTTATTTTCCTCGCAAATGGATTATCACGTGGAAATTCATAGCAGCCAACTGTACTCTGAGACGCACATTAATTATACATGTGGAGGGAAGAACCAGGAGAAAAATCCACGCGACCATGGGGAGAGAGATGCAAACTCCAAATATACAGGCATCGTCAGGGTTGGGATCGAACCCACGACCTCCTCTATACCAGTTGCTAGGCGCCCCAAGCACCAGGATATAAACCCACCCACTACTCAATCTTGCTTGCATTCATTCAGCCAAACTCAGTGCACGCTACGTTTTATATTCTTCTGTGGCCTCTGTCTCGCTTCAAAATCTTTGCACGCTCCAGTTGACTTTACTTTGACAAGACAGTACTGTACACATGTATGTTTTCCTACTTGAAATGCTATTAGACAGGTATTTATGATTCGAATGTAGACATTTACATTTTGCATTGCTTTGATGAAATACAGAAATTATTGCCGTGATTCATGGTGTCATTCTGCGTGGGTTTAAAAAAATATATATTTTTGCTCTTCAATAACATGATTTTAACTTTATTGTTATAGTACTATGTGAAGACCCTTACACTGTCATGTGTCGCCAGGGCCGTCTAATAGGCGGTGTGGGGCCTGGGGCAAATCCCACACCGTATGGGCCACACCGTATGGGCCACACCGTATGGGCCACACCGTATGGGCCACACCGTATGGGCCACACCGTATGGGCCACACCGATGCCTTCAAACTAAACCAGAAGCATTACCTCTGACACTGTGACGTCGAAGCATGCCGCCCCACCCCGACCCCCAAAGCGCGGGGCCCAGGACGGTCGCCTCAATTTGCCGTGTACCTCAGGGGACGTCTCTGTGTGTGTCGCCCATGCACTTCCATTGGGCACAGGGCCTCCATCAGTGGAGGGGTTGTTAATCTGCGCGTCGCGATGCAGGAATGTATGCACAGATCCAGGGATCTGTGACCTTTTGATGGAATGCGATTCTGGCTCATAGATGCGATGCTTCCGTGTATCTGGCCCTTTGTACATTTTCCCGTACAAAAGTGGAAACTATATTTGTGTTTGAGAGACGTTAAAGGTAGTCGCTACCAGAGATGTAAGGCTGTATGTGGAGGTAAATGAGGCTGGCTCGTCCATGCACAACAAGAAAATATTCAGCACGATTAATTACGTTCGTTATAGACTTTAATGTGCGTTTTGCTTTTCCAACACTTGCATGTACAACAACAATAATTAATTCATGCCTACCGGTTCATATGCACAAAGCTTTACAATACTGCACGACGTTACATATAAAAAAAAATATTTACTTTAAGGTGGCTACTTTACGAATTGTCACAATTCAGGATGAGGGTTACATTTAAGAATAATTCTCGTCTTTTACGCCCATTTGTGTGGTTTTATGTGTGGTCTTGTTTGCACAGTTTTGTCTACTTCATTCGTCTAAAAGCAACATTACCCAATTATTTTCACAAAATGCGTGAAATCTCAAATAATCTTCACAAGCACAATTATGTGGTGGGTGCTGAAAAATGATCATTTGAATATTTGAATTTATGCATCGATATGCCTAAAACACTGTGTGCTATGTCATGATAGACATGGCTAAAGGGGCTCACGTACTTAGAGAAGAAGCAAACTACTTGGAGGTGTTGGGAATGGACTTAAACTTCACAGTGGGCGTGCCTCCGACCGGACCCACTCCTGTATGTTGTTGAACTTCCTTCACACCGTACGTAGCCAACCATGCTAATAGGTGGGGGGGGGGGGGGCAGGAAGGGCAACAAACTAAACACATACAAACTAATCTAATAGGTGACGTTTCAGGTGAAGGCCTGGAACTCCAGTGGCCAGCAAGGCGGCAAACGACCCGCCCTTGCACATAAACGCTTCCTACATCAAACGGCCAACGCTTCGTTGGCAGTCGCGCTCGTCTCACATTCCTACAACATCGGCCTGACCCCCCCCCACCACCCGCTGCTCAAGAAAGCAAGGCCTTGAACCCCCCCCCCCCGACGATTCGGAAAGTTACAGATCCATAATCAACCTCTCCTCCCCAACCCGCCATGCTCCTGGAAAGGCCTTGCCCTCATCGAGCCCAACGTGTGCTCCCTTCACTCTGCCTATCGTGGCCGGGTCTATTCCACCGAGACCACAATCGGGCCATCTCGATGATAGTCTTTGTATGGCCGACTCTAGTTGGGTGTCGGTATCTCTGCAGCCTTCGTCGCAGTTAAAACTCTCCCAGCAGCCTCCTCGACTCTGGCACTGGCGGTCTGGCCTCCTCCAGTGGGTCACGTCCCACCTGCAGGGCCAGGGCTTTCTCAGTATGCGGGGGTGGGAGCCTTCGTCTGCAAGAAACCGAGCTCGCATGTGGAGTTCCCTCAGGGTTCTGGCCCTGGCCCCTTCCTGCTCGTGGCCTACATGGCTTTCAATGGGCACCTCATCGAGTGCTTTGGTGTCAAATGCCATTCCTATGCAGGCGACACCGGACTTCTTCACTAGTTGATCCCACCGATTACGGTAAATACGTACATTATAGATTACTATTTCTTATATAGCCCTTTGCAGGGAACATCAAAGTAGCAAGCGACATACACCAACGCCTTTTGACAAAGGGAACATTGACCGATTTCAGCATTATGTATGTATGGATCACAAGTAGTGTAACTCCCTAACTAGATTAATAAAGGTACCAACAGTTGTATCGAGTGATACGTCGTAAAAATACTCCATTAAAACACTTAAATACAAACCTCACCTATTCACATTTAATAGATGTCTTCACATTAATAAAAATACTCAAAGGGTGGTGCAGTGGTGCATCGGTGGGCACACTGCACCTCGAACACGTCGACACGAGTTTGATTCCTGGTCACAGTTAACATTGCTGATGAGTGATATCAATCCTTTACCAACGGGATAAGACCAGTACAGCTAAGTATGGTCAGGGCGAGGCCTCTCATGCAGTATGGATATTTGCAAAGGATTTCTATCTATTTACTTATTTGGAACACTGATATTACTGATATTCTCCCCCCTTTGGAAATATCACAGTAGGAATATTGACCTTTTTTTGCATTAATGTAGTTGAAGGGTTATTGTGTGGTCCGTGGGACGATACGCCATACAGCGACCACAAAGTGGTCAGCGGGTTTTGTTCACACCAAGGTTGATCAGCCACTTTTTCCTATGTGTTAGCATCCCTTTCTGTTTATGTATTTGGGGGAAAAATAAATGCGTCCAATTCTCCAATACAAATGCAGTCACCGAGGCGATAAATTTCAGCTGTTGTCAAATTTTACTCGAGCCCAATATCTTTTAATGTTTTAAAGGGCTTCGAAACTTGTCCACCCCTAGCCACGGAGGAGAGCGATTGGGAGGAGACGGCTGTGGGTGCCAAACCGCGAGCCTCGTGGATTGTGGTGATGCGGATCCAAAGTGCTCTTCCTAGGCTAGAACTGGGTCTTGCTTGTGCTGACAGGGCCCGGATCCCAGTGGTCATGTAAAGAAGGCATGTCAAACACCCTTCCAATATTTTTTTTTTTAAATCTGTATGTCCTCACACCTGTGTGGCACAGTGTGCCCCCTTTAAATAACAATGTGCTGAAAAATATATTTTCACATGACTCACACACATGGCTTATCACCCCTATGCGTTTTAGAGTGCGCTTTTAAACTAGGATAGTGTGAAAAGCCCTTCCCACAATCCTTGCAAATATATGGACGCTCACCAGTGTGAATTCTACAGTGCGACTTTAAACTGGACTGTGATGAAAACCTCTTGTCGCACTCCTTGCACACGTACGGCTTCTCACCGGTATGGGTCCTAGAGTGCGCCTCTAAATTGGAACGATGTGAAAACCCCTTTCCACACTCGTTACAAATGTACGGGCGCTCACCAGTGTGGGTCCTAGAGTGCGTGTCTAAATTGGAACGATGTGAAAACCCCTTTCCACAATCCTTGCAAACGTATGGGCGCTCGCCCGTGTGTGTTCTCGAGTGCGTCTCAAAAGTAGAAAACCGTGAAAACCCCTTGCCACAATCCTTGCAAACGTACGGGCGGTCGCCAGTGTGGGTTCTGGAATGCCTCTCCAAAGTAGAACGCAGTGAAAAACTGGTCCCGCACTCATTGCACACATAGGGCTTTTCATCCGTGTGGGTTACAGAGTGTGTGTCCAGGTTGGAGCGCCGTCTAAATCCCTTGCCACACACGTTGCAAATATGCGGCCGCTCGCCAGTGTGTATTCTGGAGTGCGCCTTCAAACTGCAATGATAAGAAAACCCCTTCCCGCACTCCTTGCACACGTGTGGCCACTCTCCGGTGTGAATTCTGGAGTGCAGGTTCAATCTGTAAAGATCCGAAAAACCCTTTCCACACTCCATACACACGTGTGGCCACTCACCAGTGTGCAACCTGGAGTGCACCTTTAATCGGTACTGATCCGAAAAGCCCTTTCCACAGTCGCTGCACACGTGCGGCCGCTTGCCGCTGTGAATCCTGGCGTGCCTCACGAGCTGAGAGTTACTGGGAAATGCCTTCCCACACTCGAGACACGTGTGCGTCCTCTCACTAGCGGCGCCGATCGCCTGTGCTCGCGACTCATCGATTGGCGAAGATTGTAAGATCTGCTCCTCCCCAGTGCTTGTCACGGCATCTTGAAGCAGCTTCCCGCAACGCGTGCAGGCTTTCCGTGGCAGCCCGGAGAGTTTCGCTTCACCCACGGTCATCTCCTTGAAGCGTATACCACCAAGATCTCTGCCACATTCCTTACACAGGTGTCCCGTTTCTTTCGTTTCATCTGCCACAAATTGTTCAACGAGACAGTCAAAGTGTGTAGTTTTATTACGCAATGCAGCCATACACATTTGTAGGCCCTCGCTTCAAAGAGGAAGAACACCGCAAGCAATTTGGCTTTAAGTTACTGTGTACCATAGTCCCTCGGTTAACGTTTTTAATCCGTTCCACGAAAACTACTGTTACCAAAATAACTGTAAATCGAATATAGGAATTACATGTTAAAAGTATTAATCCATTCGAAGACGATCGGAAGATGACCTTTTTGACCCTAAAAACTTCGTTTATAACATTTAAACATTCAATACTAATACATATTATAAAAAAAAAATTACAGGGTTAATATTAATAGAAACATAGTTACATTATTAATAAATAGAGCATAAAAAATATTATTTTGCTAAATTGTAAAAGTGGTGGATTGGGTCAAGCCAAATTCACTCATAAGTGCACACCTTTTTCATGCGTATCAATAACTTCCTGCTTTGTTTGAAGGCTAATTAATTTCCTACTCCACTTTTCCTTTTGCGAATTCACTTTAGGGGCCATTGCAATCACTATTAATTCACTTATAAGTTGAAAAATAAGTAAAAATCACTGAGTCTGCAAGAGCTGTTTCCACTGCCAAAATAGAAAACGTTATCCCGTAAACAAAGCCAGTCGAGGTCTAAACGCTCATAGATGGGCATTGCTGATTGGCCGAGGGCATGACTCAACCCACTTCTGAGCGCTCGGATTGGTCGAAATTTTCTCCCGCGTGCACAACGTAAACATACCGTTAATACATTTTTAACATTCGTTGAAACCATGGGGTCCTGTGGGAGGCGAAATGTTAACCGAAAACATTTAACCAATGTCACTTTTAACAGAGTGACTACTCACAATGCGTGTGCTTCATTTTCATATGAACAAGTAGTAAGGTCTGAAGGGCAAGAGGAAAAAGTGATCGTGTGTCCTGTGGGATAGACCTATTAATCCTTCACTGCTTTCCCGTACAATTTAACTCTCGACCTATATGTCAAGTAAATCACCTTCCACCCATTTAGCCCTCCGTATGTGTAATTTATCTTCTCGTTTCACGGCCACGAACTCTTCTGCTGTTATCCATAGCTTCACTAGAGCTATGCACTGTTAAATCTAGATTGAAAACTCACTTCTTTAAAACTGATTTTTGTGTTTAGTTTGTTGTCCTTCCCCCACACCTCCAATTAGTATGGTTGGCTAAGTATGGTGCGAAAGAAGTTCAACATACATACATGTCAGAGAGTATAAATAACATTCTTATACAAAATTATAATCCCATCTTGATCAGCCGCTCAGGTCAGAATCAGCTTCTGGCAGATCGGATCTGAAAAGTTTTTTGGATTGATCCTATGGAATTGGATACTCTATGATCAAATCCGTCAAGACCAATATTGTTCAATCCACAGTGAACAGTATCCTTTATAAACCAAGCGACTTGAAATTAAACTAGATTTACAAGAGTATTTGACTGTGATAGGTTAGCCCGTAACCAATATCTGCACAAAACACCCTGTGTTTGAATCGTACTTTCGAAAAATTTGGCCTATCTAGCTCCAAGTGATAGATTTTAATAATAAATGACATTGATAAAACGCCTTTCAACAATGTGCTCAAGGCGCTTAAGGCACATACTGAACCACTGCCACCGTGGTGAGCAACTTTTTGTTACAGAGAATGTGGCAGCATGTCGAGTGTTGGGTTAGACAGGCTGTTTGAAATGATTCTAGGACCCCGATTCCCACCATGGCTCAACGGTTAAACAAGTTTTTTGTTCAAGATTTGCCCCGCTACTGGCAATAGAGGCATCAGCACATTTTGAGGGGAAATATGATGCAAATGATCAAGATGAGGAACTGGCCTCATGAGTAGTTCTCTCGTGTAATCCACCGTGGCCTTTCCCTACGCTTCAGAAGAATAACTCTTCACGTGTATTTTTTTCTCATTATTTACGTGTTATTTTTTTATTTGCTAAGTAGTGGGGTTTTATTGTTTTATTGTCTGTGTATGGAACTGGATAATTGATGTGCAGTCTTGTGGGATATAATTGCATGAATGATGCTCGAAAAATGTAATTACATTTGATGACAATTTTACGTATGAGCACGTCTTGAACCATTCATCACGGCTGCTGAAAACATTTTCTCTGCGATATGATCAAAGGGAGCTCACCTTGATCAATGTTGCATGCCAACACCTCCGCCCGGTCTCGATTGGTGAAATAACCGTAGAAATATCCTGTCTCTAGCCTCTCGACGCCCTCCTCAACCTTAGGAATCTTCTGTCCTGGAACTGAAATTGACAAAATAAAGGTTTGGTCACCAGCGGTTGGACCGAATATTTAAAAAAGGTGAGCTAGGCACCAGTGGGGTTTGGGATCTTTTTTATTGACAGCTTCCTCAAACTGTCACCGGTGCTTTAGCCAACTTGTTTTTTTGGGGTCTTGCTTTTGGAAAAGCGCGCAATCTTTAGCCAGCTAAGGCACCGGACAGGTCATCCACCGTGGAGATGAAGTGATAAGATCAGCTCATAGGTGGATTGTTACATCGCATTATTTGTGAGATATGGCAATGGATTGGGGATACCAGATGGATCGTGGCCGCCGATGATGATAACGCACAGTAGGTAAACACACCTGCAGTTCATCAGCTAGTATTCACAACCGTTTACATTAACAGCTGAAATATGTGAATGCATAACTTTGCTGTCAGATTCTAGTGAATTAAATAATGTCACCCCACCCTCACTGAAACATGGAAAGTGTCTGGCGTAAATCAGTGACGCTCTTTGGGTAAAAAATTGGGATCGGCGTCCGCTAATGAGGCGGCAACGTCCTCACAGTCTCACGGGAAGTTGAAGAGCGGTTGTCAAGTGACGCAAGAGCCAAGGCAGCAATGCAAGTTTGTGGCGAATGAGCAAACGGTGTCGCTCAAAAAAACAAAGTGGGAAACGGCCCGTATAGCTTTTGTATGAATGTGAGCGAGAGCTGTATTATGTGCCTGCAAGAGAAACTAAACTAATAAGGGGCAGAAGATCTGACCTGTGATTTCATCTTCGTCCTTTACCATCACCGTCCGCACAATCTCAGGGCTGGGCTTTTCTTCCACATCCTCTTCGCTCAACAGCGCTTCACAAACAACGGCACATGTGGTGTGTGTGCGCGTGTGTATATATAATGCCAAAACGTTGACGTAAAAACGATACGCGATTATTACACCTTTAAATCTTGAGGCAGCTGGGAATAGGCTAGCAGCCATCATGCTCACCGACGGATCCAGTTTGTACAGACGTTGGCAGTTCCATTCCTGCCAAAAAGCACTTTCTAACCAATTTCTGCTGATTACAGGCCTTTTGACATTATAATTATACCTCTATGTGGCGAGGTGTATCAGGGAGCGTCTTATGTCAATGTCAGAGCACTGTCAATGAACTCAAAAGTCAGTGGTTTCTTGCTCAATTGAGCATTTTGCCAGTGCTCATCTCCTGTTACAGCCCTATGCTAGTGGTGGAAATTCTGCTTTCCTTTGGCGGGGCCGAGTCTGTCCATAAGGCAAATCACTGTCAACTTGCACACAAAGTGGTACTCATGTTATGGGCCCTGGTGGAATGATGGGCTAAGTCAACCCCCAGCCATGATTTGAACTTTCTTTGCGAGCCGCTCACTGTACCGCTGAGCCTGCACTACTGAGACGTTAATTTAAATTATGGGGGCTAAGATGGCTTTTCTCTCTTAGGTTTTTGCACTGATATACATGCGATTTCACTCGATGCATTAACATGAAAAAGGATGATGATATAAGTGACCTGACAATGTGAAATGTTGACACTTAGAGATTCCATTACAGCGATCTCCCCGTTCAAACCTACATAAAATCAACGAGATCTCACCGTCATCGTCATCTTCAAGTTTCACCGTCACATCAGGAAACACATCAGGGCTTGGCGTTTCTTCATGTTCTTTTTTAATGAAGGAAAATTCAATGCGAGAGTCCATCTGGGGAGCAAACGTAAGGTAACATTAACCATCTAACGAGACAGAATTCACCGAGCCTGTCGAGACCAGAACCGTCAAAGAACCGCATATGCCAAGGTTTGCGTGGATGTGGTTTAGGGTTGTAGCCTATAAGCTTCGCGTTGGGTCTTTCACAAGATGTTTATGTCTGGGTGTATGTTGAACTTTCTTTCACACTGTACGTAGTGAACCGTGCTAATTGAAGGTACGGGGTCGGACGTCAAACTAAACACAAAAAATAAGCTCTAAAGAAATTATTTTTTTTATCTAGTGCATAGCTCCCAGTGGCTTTCTAATATCAGAAGAGCATTCCAGACGGCCGCAAAAGCGCATCTGAAAGCGCGCAATGCGGTGACCGTCTTTCTTCGATGGCGGTTAGCCAAAAGCCGCTGCTGCTGCGAGGACGACCACCGGCGGCGTTTGCGTGATGGTTTATGCCCCTTGACGAGATCGGCAGGGCATTGTGGTTCCGTTTGTGGCAAGCACTTTGTGTGTCATGAGTGCTACCTTAGAATGTATTCGTTCAGCAACCAGAATGTATTTGTTCATAATACATAATGTTGCCTGCTCAATAATCACTATGCTTGCAGACTGTGGGTGATGAATAAGCAAGGCATATGTTTTTAATCATTAAAATAATATTTAACATATGCAAAATGACAAACTAAGGTGTGCAACCATGGAATATAGAACGACTCAATGCCCCATTCAAAAACACGGAGGCAAACCTGTCAACCTCTTATCAGTTCCCGAGCATATTACAGACCTTATTGGTCACCCGGTGCCCTTCATAAATGTCAACGTTCATCCTACAAAGTCCCATCACAAGGGATAAACACAAACAAATAGACAATGTCTTTTTTTTGCGCGTATTGAAACGTCTGTACGCCGTATGGACCTGAAAACTCAATTTGCCCGTACAAGAATACGGTGCAGACCGTATGGGTTAACAGCTATGCGAAGGCATATTAAATCACAGCGATGCGCTGACACAATTCTCCGTCTCAACCACCTCAGTGCAAAACTGCAGCCGTTGCTCTGCATCAACATCAGGAGTGCTGCTACTGCTGCTGCTGCTGCATCGAACATTATTCCGCTTTGCTTTTGAATTCGGCCAAAAGCCAGCCAGATGGTTTTGACAGTGTAACAAATGGGATCTTGCTGCACTGCCCTCTGCTGCTAGACCACGGAAGACCCACAGCAGCCAACAAGCACCATCCACCAGGCTCAATAGCCTGCTTAGCTTCTGAGACCTTGCATCCATACAGACGAGCGCCAGATGATTTGGTCGTATGCCTTAAAAAGGCAAAGACCCATATAGCCTTAACTGTCTACTGGGGCAAGTTCTTGCTTGTTACCTATGAAGGTCGGCACGGCACACGGAGGGGGTGGGTGGCCAACACCACGCCCGGCCGCCTTTGTCTCCCCAGTGGTGATGTTTACACATCGCACCAGGTACTCATTCGAGGCTGAGTCGACCTAGGGGTCGCCCAGTACCGGTTCAGATAATTGCCACCGGTGTTGTCCGTGAGCGGAAATCGAACCCGGGTGGCCAGGTTCGTAGCGCAGCGCGCTAACCACTACACCACCGCTCCCCACACTATAACACACACACACATCCACAACACGTGCACGTCCACACAACACTGTGAACACGTGCACGTCCACACAACCTGTGAACACGTGCACGTCCACACAACCTGTGAACACGTGCACGTCCACACAACCTGTGAACACGTGCACGTCCACACAACCCGTGAACACGTGCACGTCCACACAACTTTGTGAACACGTGCACGTCCACACAACACTGTGAACACGTGCACGTCCCCACAACCCGTGAACACGTCAACACAACCCGTGAACACGTGCACGTCCACACAACCCGTGAACACGTGCACGACCACACAACCTGTAAACACGTGCACGTCCACACAACACTGTGAACACGTGCACGTCCACTCAACCTGTGAACACGTGCACGTCCCCACAACCTGTGAACACGTGCACGTCCACACAACACTGTGAACACGTGCACGTCAACACAACCCGTGAACACGTGCACGTCCACACAACCTGTGAACACGTGCACGTCCACACAACACTGTGAACACGTGCACGTCCACACAACTTTGTGAACACGTGCACGTCCACACAACACTGTGAACACGTGCACGTCCCCACAACCCGTGAACACGTCCACACAACCTGTGAACACGTGCACGTCCACACAACCCGTGAACACGTGCACGTCCACACAACTTTGTGAACACGTGCACGTCCACACAACACTGTGAACACGTGCACGTCCCCACAACCCGTGAACACGTCAACACAACCCGTGAACACGTGCACGTCCACACAACCCGTGAACACGTGCACGACCACACAACCTGTAAACACGTGCACGTCCACACAACACTGTGAACACGTGCACGTCCACTCAACCTGTGAACACGTGCACGTCCCCACAACCTGTGAACACGTGCACGTCCACACAACACTGTGAACACGTGCACGTCAACACAACCCGTGAACACGTGCACGTCCACACAACCTGTGAACACGTGCACGTCCACACAACACTGTGAACACGTGCACGTCCACACAACTTTGTGAACACGTGCACGTCCACACAACACTGTGAACACGTGCACGTCCCCACAACCCGTGAACACGTCCACACAACCTGTGAACACGTGCACGTCCACACAACTTTGTGAACACGTGCACGTCAACACAACCCGTGAACACGTGCACGTCCACACAACACTGTGAACACGTGCACGTCCACACAACTTTGTGAACACGTGCACGTCCACACAACCTGTGAACACGTGCACGTCCACACAACTTTGTGAACACGTGCACGTCCACACAACACTGTGAACACGTGCACGTCCCCACAACCCGTGAACACGTCCACACAACCTGTGAACACGTGCACGTCCACACAACTTTGTGAACACGTGCACGTCAACACAACCCGTGAACACGTGCACGTCCACACAACACTGTGAACACGTGCACGTCCACACAACTTTGTGAACACGTGCACGTCCACACAACCTGTGAACACGTGCACGTCCACACAACACTGTGAACACGTGCACGTCCACACAACACTGTGAACACGTGCACGTCCACACAACTTTGTGAACACGTGCACGTCCACACAACACTGTGAACACGTGCACGTCCACACAACTTTGTGAACACGTGCACGTCCACACAACCTGTGAACACGTGCAGTACTGCATAGTATATACGAGAGCTCACGCATGCAGTCTGCACACGCGCAAATTAACACATGCGTTCAATTACAAGGGCAAATATCCCCCGTGTAGCCTTAGCTGACCGTTGTGGCAAGGGGCTGTGAGCACATCCTAAGGCCTCCTCTGAGGCACACGCGCGCCCGGCCGCCTTTGTCTCCCCCGGAGTGGCGATGTTTACAGAATCGGATTCGGATTTCCCGTCGCCGGCATTGGCCGTGAGCGGGGGGCTCCAACTCGGGGTCTCTGGCGCGCCAACCATGCTGACGTCACGTATTAGAGTCCATTCACAGGACAAAGAACACCACCACCATCATCACCACCACCACCATCACCACCATCATCACAGCCACCACCATCACCACCACCATCATCACAGCCATCACCACCACCATCATCATCACCATCATCACAGCCATCACCACCACCATCATCACCACTATCATCACAGCCATCACCACCACCATCATCACCACCATCAACACAGCCTTCACCACCATCATCATCACCACCATCATCACAGCCACCACCATCACCACCATCACCACCACCATCACCACCACCATCATAGCCAAAGATCCCCCTGTGTAGCCTCAACAGACTGTCGGGGCAAGCGCTGCTAGCGAGCAGCACCAATGAAGGCCGAAACGACGGCACACGAGAGGGTGGGTGTCCAGCAACCACGCCCGGCCGCCTTTGTCTTCCCAGTGGCGATGTCTATACACCGCACCAGGTTACTGCTCATTTGAGGCTGAGTCGATCTAGGGGAGGCTCAGGGACCGATTCAGACAATCGTCACCGGTGTGTTGGTGGCCATGAGTGGGAATCGAGCTCGGGTCGCGCTAAACGGGACGCCACCGCTCATACACCGACACACACACACAGCTCACACACTGACACACACAGCTCACACACACACACTGACACAAACACATAGCTCACACACACACTGACACACACACTGACACACACACAGCTCACACACACAGCTCACACACACACACACTGACACACACACACACACACTGACACACACACAGCTCACACACTGACACACACACACTGACACACACACACAGCTCACACACACTGTCACACACACACTGACACACACACATAGCTCACACACACACTGATACTCACACACTGACACACACACTGGCACACACACACACTGACACACACACCGACACACACACACACAGGTGACAAACACACACACAGACACACACACAGCTCACACACACACACAGCTCACACACACACATAGCTCACACACACACTGATACTCACACACTGACACACACACTGACACACACACACTGACACACACACCGACACACACACACACAGGTGACACACTGACACACACACAGACACACACACACAGCTCACACACACAATGACACACACACATAGCTCACACACACACTGACACACACACACACAGCTCACACACTGACACACACGCACTGACACACACACACTGACACACACACACAGCTCACATACTGACACACACACAGCTCACACACACACTGACACACACACATAGCTCACACACACACTGACACACACACTGACACACACACAGCTCGCACACATACAGCTCACACACACACTGACACACACACACAGCTCACACACACACTGGTGACACACTGACATATACACACAGCTCACACACACATACAGCACATACACCGACAC